TCTGCTTGGGGTGTGAGCCAGCCATTGGGTCTGCAAGGCTTTCCACTTGCCCTGGGATGTGAGGAGACCGTCAAGGCCCTCAGGCTGGTCCTGGGGTCAAGTCATACTCAATGCGACGCTGGCACCCGACGTCAGGTCTTGCTGTCTGCCTCTCACACGAGCCTGCTCACGTCGCTCTCCCAGCACCTCCGCTGGGGCGTGCAGGGGCGTGGACGCCAATCCACCGAACACCTGCCACGTGGGCGGGAGCCTGTGGCCTTCCGAGGCGCATGCGCAGGATGTAACTGCACGTGCGGAGTGGGCACACTACGCAGGCGCTGTTGCGCACCCGTCTAGCGGGTCTAAAGAAGCGGTGTAGGTAGAGGTCTCTGGAGACCGCAAGCGTTGGGTGTCCTGAGAAGGCTGGCACCAATACGACTGAGCATTGGATACCCCCAAAAACCTCTGGAGAGGTGACTGGATCCTGGCCGTGCCCTATCGGCCAGGTGAGAGATTGAAGCCAGCCCTCAGGTTCATGTTGTTATAATTTAGCATGAAGAACTCAAAACACTTCCTTCTGACAAATACGGCTCTCCTCCCACCGCCGCATCCCAAACCCGGCCATTAACAACAGATTGGTTTAAATGGTGGGGCACTGGGGAGGGGAGTGAGAGTCCAGAGTTTCAATAGAGAAAAATAATAATGGGGAAGGAGGGACAAATTCTAAATGGTGGGTTAGGGCTGGCCATAGTTTCCCAAGAAACTTGTAGTTGTACAGGCAGGAAGTGGTTCCGAAGAATCTCACCGAGGTATCTTACCAGAGTGGACAAGAAAGGAGGGAATGTGTCCTTCAGATCCTTCCCCTCTCACTGATCCGTTTGTCCCAGTGCTAGGTAGGATCTCCCTACCCTCCAGGCCTTGGCTGGCAGCTGCTGAGCATGTCAGGGCCCCAGAAGTACCACCTGAGGTGCAGGCCCAGCAGCGGCTGGGTGAAAGCTGCACCCACCTCACCCTTAGGGGATACTGAAACTTGCCAAATGGTTAAAAGGCCATAAGGATGGCTCTGGCTCAGAAGTTTAGTTAGTTGGAGCGTTGTCCTGTAAACCAAAAGGTTGAGGGTTTGATCCCTGGTTGGGGCACATAGAGGAGGCAACCAGTCAATGTTTCTCTCCCCCCACACCCACGCCCCACCTTCCTCTAAAATCATATCCTCAGATGAGGATTAAAAAAAAAAAAAAGGCCACAAGGATGGCCATGGGATTGAGGAAGCAGTGGAAGACCTAAAGGTAGCAGATGGAGACGAGTGAATCTTGGCTACAAAGATTGGGGGGCAGCAAGGGGCTAAGGGCCACTATTCCAACTTCAATCACACCAAGTCCAGACGATTGGCAACTTATATGGACCTCTGGATAAATTTCCGGCAGAGAACTGGCCCTGTGGCTAAATAAGCTGGGAAACCTGTACTATCATCTGATTCCTTTATTTAAAGGAGGAATGGGAAACCAGGTGGGCAGTGATTTGTCTGAAGCCTTGGGAGTTCAAAGGAAAGTTGGTTTTCCAGCAGCAACTTCCAGGAGCCCTAGTTGGGCCTGGCACATTCCAAGCTACCAGATGAAAATAGCCAGACTGAAAAACAGGCTTGGCCAGGAAGGGTGGGGCAGAGTGGAAGAGGGTATAGGGGGGATAAATGGTAACGGAAAGTGTAAAAACAAAACAGGCCTATTAACATTTTGGCTTATTGTTAAACAGGATGTGCCTTGCCAGCCGGGCCCTTCGTCTGTCCAGTCTGTTTTGCTTACTGTAGAGACTGTGCCCCCAGCAGTGCTGAGAATGGGCAGAGAACAGTCTGAGGTTTCAGACGCTGAGGTGGAGAAAACGCGTTCCTTGGGAAAGACCTCTGCCTCCTGAAGCCTTGCCAGCTGTTAAAACTGCTCATGGAACCAAGAGCAATGTGGTCCCTTGGTTCCAAAGGAGGCCTCAAAGCTTCCATCTCCAACAAAGGCAGAACCCTTCAGTGGAATTCTGAGGATGTTTTAGGCACCTTGGCGACTGCCAACAAATCCCTGACAGCCTGGGCCAGCTGCAGAACCACCTTGCAACAGGGACAAGTAGCCAGTGGAGGCACCCCCTACTTAGACAAAACCTTGTGTTCTATGTAGGTGGCAAGTAAGTTTGAGCTTCATCAGACTTAAATACTTATGGGTCCTAGAGCTCTGAACTCTTGGCTAACACTGCTTGAACTAACTATAGGTTTGAGTCATGTCAACAGGGGAGAGTCATGTCGACAGGGAATTGAACCCAAGAGGAGCCAGAAAGCATTGTCATTCAGATGGATTATTTCTCAGCCTGTTATTAACCTATGCCTTCCTTTGGTAAACCTTGTCCTGATCTGGTAATAAACAGTATTAATCCTAAAGCAGAGTTTTTAACCCTAGATCCATGGGACACTTAGGGGTGGAGAGGGGTCATGTAAGGTAGACATTATCCTGAGACATTTGCCCCTTATTCTTCATCTGTTTTTTATAAACTCTTTTGTAGAGTCCCTAGCCAAGAATCAGATTACAGCCTGTACCAGAAGAGAAATACAACTGGCCAACGAAGACATTCCATCTCACTTAAATTAGTTCAAATCAACTAAAAAATCCTTCACTTTTCACCTTTCAGACTAGTAAAGAGACTGCATGTTGGCAAGTGGGTGGGGGAAATACATTGTTGGCAGGAATTGAAATTGTAATTCTCTTCTGGAATGTATCTTAGACTTTTAATATATCCACCATCTGACAGCCATTCTCTTTGAAATTTACCCTATACACAGACAGATGAGTTAATGAATGTATACACATTCATCATGGCATTTTTCTTAAAATGTTAAAAATTGAAATGTTTATAAATAGGGGACTGTCAAATGACAGTACATCCGAGTCACTGAAGTGCTATGTGGTTGTTCAGAATAACATAGATCCATATGGGCTATTCTGAAACAGGTTCCAAGATACACTAAGTGGGAAACAGAACGGAATGGGTGTATATTTCTGCACTTAGGATGGATACCGTCTCCAGGAAGATGGGGATCAGGGTAGAAGGAAACCTTGCTTTTCATGATCCAGCCTTTTGTACTGTTAGAACTTTCACCATATGTGTCACTTAAAAAAAAAAGACTAAAGGAAAACTCACATCCCTCCCACTCCTTAACAAGGGTTGCTGCACTCATTCACCTGTTTGCTGTCTTAAACTAAATAGGGACCTTCCTGCCACAGACCAGCCAGGCCACCTCCCTCCTCCCAAGCAGGTCAACTATTCCAAGACCAAGCAAAGGAAGGGACCTCTGCATTTTATCTTTCCACCAAGAAAAGGCAGGAACTCTCCTGGGAAACAGGCTGCAGTCAGCACAGTGGGCATATCCAGAAGTCGAAAGTAAAACATTAGAGAAATTCAGTATTTCAGTTTCTGTGGGTGTTGAGGATGAAGACAGAAAACAATGAAGATGGTAGAGATAGAGAATTTGAAGACAGTTTAAAGGTGTCATGGTGGAAAGAATGAAGAGGAGGAAGGTGCTGGATTTTACTAAGAGAAAAAAAAAGACTGAGTTCAGGAGTCTCTCCAGTAAAAGTTTATAGTATTGCATTTTGATTACAGACCTGTAAATAAAAAACTTGAGTATTACCCTCTAGTAAAAGTGCAGAACCAACTTCCCTTTAGATTAAAACAGGTTTGGGGACAAGAATGGACCACATGCTGCCTGGGAATGGAAAGAGCTGGACAGGGGAGGAGTCACCAGCTCAAGACATCCCAAGACACTCAACCTCCCAGAGGAAGCCAGGGTCGGTCTCAGTGGTATTTCCCACAAACAACCCTCTCCAAGGGATGTAGTTTGGGGAAGTCCAAAACCCACATGCCATACATGCCTCTGACCATGTGCACAAGTGGATAGACTCCTGATTCCAGTGTGGCCTGCTTCCCTCTCCAGTGCTTCATCTTAGACAGACCTCACAGGGCAGCATATGGGCCACTGCTGACATGGGTTGGGTACATGCTGGTTTGAACCAGAAGCCAATGGTACAAGGCCTTCAGAAAACCCAAAGTCCCCAAATAAAAGACAGGATAGAAGAGAGTTGGGAGAAAAATCAAACCAGAACTTTTCCAATAGCTATTAAAACAACTCTTGCCTTTGTATTTGACCCTGAGAAGATGCTTGAGGGACACAGGTGTATGAGGCTGTGACTGACAGGAGGAAAGGTGTGGTATGCCTCTGGAGAACCTGGGGCCCACCTCCTCCACCTGTGGGTGAGTGTGGCTCAGAGACTCCCTTCCATCAGCCCCACAGCAGGGACCCTGACTGGGTGTGGTGGTGCAGGGCAGAGTGGAAGCAGTAAAAGAGAAAGCAAGAGGCTCTCTAGACCCTGCCACACCACAGACAGAGGCCACCACCATATCAGTACCAGGGGCTCTTTCACACACAATGTCCTTTCCTAAAACAAATCTTTGTAATTCAAACATTTGTTGTAATACCCAGGTCAACAGTCTGACCAGTGTCAGATCTGCCTACTCCTCAACCTCAAGTTATTGAGGCAGGAAACCTCACTGTCAATGCTTGAACTGAGGAAATCACTTCAGCAGTAAGAACTTGGGTGGTGGATGCTAAGGTTGAACAAGAGGATCTTTTTTCTCCAAGCTATTTAAAGCCCCTAATCTGAGACAGGAGCCACCCAGTACCAAGCCTCCTTCTGACCCATAACCCCTTGGGTGTCCCCTGGGTCAGAACCCCTAGGGGAGGCATTACACCAGGGGGCTCTTTCCCTCCCCTATCCCTCAGATCCCAACATTATTCATCTTCTAGGAGAGAAACCCACCCTGCCCATAGAGCATCTCCAACTTGTGGATGGTGCTGGACTTGCCACATCTTGAGGAGCCAGAAGCTGAGAGGAACTGCTCAAGCTTGACATTCTGGCTCCCTGTCCTTTGCCCCAGAGTCACCAAAAAAAAAAAAAAAAGTATACTCGCACAGCAGGCACAGCATCTTGTTTCTTTTAAAAAATAAATATTTATAAACTTAGGGGGGAAGAGTTAAAGAATCAGAGTATTTTTCCCTCCAAAAAGCACAAATGTCCCATGTGTGTCAAACTAAGTCCACCAACCCATTAATGAAACAGCTCCCCCCACCCCCACCCGAGAGCTGTGCCTTGAGGAGCAGGGGAGCTGATCTCTGGCTCCGAGCCCCCTTAGTCCCCCTTGGTGATCAGGTCCTCGATGTAGGCATCCAGCTCATCATCGGTATTGATGTCAATGTCCTGAAACAGAGCACAGCGCAGTCAGCTGGGGATCATAAGGTGGTGGGGGGCCTGCCTCCCCCACCCTTCTTGCAGCCTGTGGGGCCTGAGCCCAGAGCCCCCTCCTCTCCCTCCACTCCTTCCCACCCCCAGCTGTTAGCCCTGTCCCATCAAGATCAGCCCTCCCCACCCCAATCCTCTGTGCACAGATGACGCCCAGATTTTTTGCTTCTGTCCTGACTCCACCCCAAGTTCCAGGTTGCCTTAGAGGTATCACAGGCTTCTCAGACTCAATACATCCAAAACAACACAGCTAGACCACGCTATCCCAAGTTGTTCCCATCTCAGTATAGGCCACGATATTCCCTCTGCCCACAGGCTCAAGACAGACCACAAGTATCACCCTTGTTTCCTCCCTTCCCTTCAGATATTACAGATCTGCCCACTTCCCACCCTCCTCACTGTCACCATCCAAGGTTAAGGCCACCAGAATCTCTCACCCAGACAAATGTGGGAACCTCACTGGAGTCCCGGGTTCTAACCTCTACCCCCTCCAGGCCTTCCTACAACCAACCAGAGTAAGTGTCTTAAGATTGTAAACTGGATGATGCCACACTGCTCCAGGGACTATCTCCTACAGACCCCACCATTTCTCCCACAGCCCACAACTCCCTGCTTTAGGCCCAGAGTCCTGCTCTTCTCTCAGCAAGAAGCACCACGCTCACTCTTGCATGATCGGTTCCACTCCCAGCTCAAATACCTCCTCAGAGAGACCACCCCAGAGCATCTTAGTAAAGTGGCCTCCACTTTTCCAATCTCTCATTGTATCTACTTCATGGTGGCACTTCCCACCATCAGTAATTCTATCTCTTCGACTGGAGTGTTGGGCTGTGAGAGCACGGACTGTCTCTTGCCTGTCTGGTTCACTGGGTATCCACAGGACAGGCACAGAGCAGGCCCTCAGTGTTTACTTCCTAAAGGAAGGACTGAGACCCTCCAGGGCACTCCCCATTTTGGGGCCACCCAATCCCATCTGGGCGTCATCTGGAAAAGTGAGAACTTCTATTTTATGGCTTGAAGGATTCTCAAACCAGGTTGTACTTCAAAATGTCTGAAACAAGGGCAAAAGTCTGATACCGTGGGTCTGGCTGGGATGAGGCCCAGGCAGCCGCACCACCTCCAGCCCGCCTGGTCAGGATGCTGTGCAGCCAAGGTTGGAACCACAGATTCCTGTGAGTGGGGAGAAGGGAGCGAGAGGTGCCCAAGCCCCCTCCCTTAGAGACCAGGTGGTCCAGCTGCAATGAGAGGGCTGCCTGGCTCACCTCCTGCACCTTTTGCAGGAGCGCCACGATGTTGGTCCTCAGCTTCTGCAGCTTCTCCTCTGTTTCACGGAGCTTTCTCTCAGAGGCACGCAGGCTTTCCTCAGAAGCCTTGGCTCTCGAGTCAGCACGACTCTGGTAGGAATGGCACAGATTCTGGAGCCCCACTTCGTACTGCCTGAAGTACTCTTTCTGTCAGGAGGGAAGCCAGAGGGTTGGTGCATGAGTCTTACCAACTCTAGCATTTATTTACTTCTCTGAGGATATATGAGCTACCTAGCGTTGGGTAGCTCCTGACTGCTATCTTTAAAAAGAACTGTTACTCCAAGTATTTAACTGGGTCATTCACCTTACAGTCAAGAATGTTATCTCATTAAACCAAGCTGGCAAAAGAAACTTCAAGTTCTATACAAAGAATTACTTTGGCAGCACAAAATAAATGTTTGAACTTGCTCCAAAGTATTAAAATTCAGTATACAGCCCTGGCTGGCATAGCTCAGTGGATTGAGCACAGGCTGCGAATCAAAGTGTCGCAGGTTCGATTCCCAGTCAGGGTACATGCCTGGGTTGCAGGCCATGACCTGCAGCAACCACACATTGATGTTTCTCTCTCTCTCCCTCCCTTCCCTCTCTAAAAAAATAAATAAATAAAATTTAAAAAAAAATTCAGTATACAATGTCTTGAATCTGACTGGGATTTGTAATTGTTTTTTTTTTTCCCCAAGTAATTATTTGTCTTTTTTAAAGTAAGAGAAAATTTTCATTTTAAAGGCATTATAAATTCACAGTTTTATATACATAAGTATCTTTTAAGATTTTACTTATTTACTTTTAGAGAGAAAGGAAAGGAGAAAGAAGGGAGAGAATCATCAATGTGTGGCTGCCTCACACACGGCCCCTCCTGGGGACCTAGCCCACAACCCAGGCATGTACCCTGACTGGGAATTGAACCCAGGACCCTTTGGTTCACAGGCTCACACTCAATCCACTGAGCTACACCCGCCAGGCAATATATATATATATACACATAAAATATTTGCAGGATCCCTGTGGACTTTATGCAACCCCTGGTTCAGCATGGTGGGGAAAAACATGATCATTCAGACTGACAACAACATAATGAACACTAGATTCTATTGTGTCCCCAACATCAGAAAAATTAAAGTTTGAGTTATTTTAGACACTACAGTCAGGAGGGCATCAAGTTGATGCATTGGTGATATACCTCCTTTAACAAGAATAAGCTAACAGACTACTTTAAGCTCAGAAGCTCCTGCTGACCATGTTTCAGTTTGAGCTGTTGAGCCCACTGCACCCAGGCTTCGCCTTGAGTTTAGCAACTTTAAGCTAAAGCAGATTTAAACCTGAGCTCTGCCACAATAGACCCTTCACCTCTCAGAGGCTTAGTGTTGACTCCTAGCCTCATTTCTTTTTTTAAAGTGGAATAGAGATAAAACCCCGTATTTTTCCCTCTGGAAAACCTTATCAAGAACATAACTGCCAAATGAGGGCCCAGCATCTTGAATATATAATCCTGCAGTTTCAATTCCATGTCCCTTCTCTAGAAAAACCACCCTAGAAAACTTAGCTATTCCTACCATAAACACATCCCACTTGATGTGGATGATTCTGAGATCCCTATCTCTAGCCCAACCTTCCTGACCCCAAATAATAGCCCCCATTCTACATATAGCCCCCTTAATGCCCAATGGACATAATCAGAAATTTAGTGCCAGTACTTCCAGCCCCACACAATTAAATTTCAACTAACCATCTTTCTCTGATGAAACCCCTGTTTTCTCTCCCAGTTAATAGCTTTGTCATAAACCTTCAATTCCCTCAGGCTTGAGTAACAGGGAGGCATGCAGCCTCTGCCTCCTCCCCCATCACTTACTTGCCTACAGTGAAAGACCAGTCTAATGACATCTGACACGGCCCTTTCACCTTCTGGTCCACTCCTACCACTCTGGCTTCCCTTCTAGGTCCCTCACCTCTGATCTTTTACAACTGGACCAGCCTCCTTATCCCTGTATCTCCCATCCACCCATACTTCCCAAACATGCTACCAGAGTTACTCTCTTAGAGGCAGGGGCAGCAGACTATGGCCCATGAGCCAAATCAGCTTGTTGCCTATTTTTGTAAATAGAGCTTTACTGAACACAGCCACATCCTTTCCTTCACATATTGTCTATGGTGGCTTTCAGGCTATAATAGAGGTGAGCAGTTGCCACAAACTATGTAGCCTACAAAGCTGAAAATAATTTGCTAACTGGTCCTATGCAGAAAAAGTTTGTTGACCCCTGCCCTAGACATGGTTCAGACTGACAATTCTATCAGCTCAACTCATTTTCATAGAGTGTTAAGCCACTGTACTTAAGACTAGAGATTCAAAATGAATCATATCCTGGCTCTCTGGCCACCTTCTTTCCTAAATATTCACCCCCACATGCCCCTTCATCCCTCTGAGCCTTTATTCAAAAAAGCCCCCCTGCCACTCTCTCCTCTTCTCCCAGGCTGTCCACTTCCACAATACTCACTGCTCTCCACCTCACATCCAGCTACCTGGTAAAATGTCAGTCTCTACTGATTCTTAAGCCCCTTGGAAGCAGGACTTTCGCTGCTCCCTACCAGCACAGGGCCTGCTCAGGGAAGGTGCCACATCAGCATTTGCTGGGTTAAATAAGACTCGGTGCTCATTTCCACACATCACGAGTTTCTCTCTATACATGTCCCCCTTAAGAGTCAAGTTTCAGGCACTTAGAGACTGTTCTTCACTGTTGTCTGGGGCAAAGGAAAACAAGTGTATTTATTGTAAAATGTTGAACCAGGCCTACTGTCCCTAAGTGAGGACTCAGGACCAGGGTCTCGTGACACCAGAGCCATGTCCAGCTAGGCCGTATCTTTTTCCACAATGTTAAGTCTCTTCCTTCATCCTCTCATCATACGAAAGGGAAGCTGGCTGGGAGGCGCACAGCTGAGAGCTGACAATCATAACAAGCTCCAAGGGGGCATGTGGAGTGCAAAATTAAAGGTCAGGCCAGACTCACCAGAGGAAACGATATCAGCTCATCTGAATTCATAGCACTCAACTCTTTCTTGGAGATAGGGAAACTTGGAGGCAGGAAGTACCGTAAACAATTCCTAAACAAGAAAGAAAGTAGGGATAGGAAATCACAATGGTGTGGAGGGGTAGAGAACCACTCCTGGCCCCAGAACAGGATGACAAACACACCGGAGGATCTGGACGAGCAGGTCAATGGTCTCATGGTTGGAGCTCGGGGCAGTGGTGTCAGGCTCAATTCGGATGCATTCAGAAGTGGAAGGGTCTGTCACGACCACAGCCTGCTGGACCACCGTGGACTCAGCCTCCTCTCCACCTTCCTGCTGTGTGTCAGGACTCTGATACTCCGGGGAAGGAGGCTTCATCAGTCGCACATCCTCACTGTCTTTTTCCACCCTAGGGAGGATAAAGTGCTTCTGTCACATGTATCATGAGCTCCCAGAATGGCACACAGCCTCCCCTGGCCTGGCCAGCTCTTTCAACCCAGCCTCTTAAAAGGGGCATTACCAGCGGTCTCTTGGTGTTGTGTCTGTGGGCACGTAGTCAAACTTCACCTTCCACCGCACCACATGCTTGCCCACCTCCACAGCTGTGACACGGCCTGTGTACCACTCTCTGTTCACACGCACCTCCACGTGCAGCCCTTTATCTGAGAATGGGGATGGGGTAGAAGTCAGAAAACTAGACTGGGTCCCTCACTCAGTCAGGTACATCTAGAGAAAGGCTGTCCCAGGGTTTTCAGGGACAAGAACCCCTTAGGTTCTTCCTGGCACTATGCCAGGGACATGGAGCCCAGAGACCCTGGTCTCCTTCCCTAGGAGTTGCAAAGAGCAGCAGAATGAGTGACTACCAGAGGTGAATGCCAAGGAATTATGTGCTAAAAATACACATAAGGGTGTACTTTCTGCAGAATTCTTGGAATTAGACTTGGAACCACTGCAGCACAGGGGCCCAGGGCCAGGAAAACCTCCATAAGCTTTCAGGATAGGCTGACCTGCTGGCTGAGATGCCCCACTTCCCCCACAGACTGCAGGTATGTCCCTGAACTCACCTTTCTGAGCCTTCTTGAAGTCAGCTGAGTCTTCTTCCTCAGGACTGTCTGAGAGCTACAAGGAGAACAGTCTGTTAGAGGCTTTCCCCAGGGCCCCCAAAGAGCAGACTTTTGCATGACTACCTTCCCAGGGTCATCAGCTGTCACCTGTGTGCTGATTTACACGGCAGTTTAAATCACCTTGCTGGCAGCCACCCCTTAAACCACCACCTTAGATATCTACCCTCCTGTAACCTTTACAAATAAGATAGCAGGCAAGGGGCAGAATGTCACAGACACAGGACGCAAGGGGTTTCAAGCCTCCCTGATCTGCACCAATGTGACTTCAGACCTGTGACTACAGCCAGAGGCCACTCTCACTCAGGATCCTACCCATTACAGTTTCTAGTCCTCTTTGTGACTTAGAGTCCTTCAGAGATGAACCGGGCTTCTGGCGGGCTCATGTCACAGAGCACAAATGGAGCTAGCACACAGACTGCAGGTGGGGGGGGATGGACACCCTGGGGAAGGAAGCTCTGAGAACTTCACCTTGAGCACCTACCTCATTCAAGTCCTTCTTTTCCTCCTTCACAGCAATTTTGCCCCGTTTGGACTTCTCCTTCCTCCTCTCAGACTCTTCCTCAGCCTCTTCTTCATCAGAGACCTCAAGAGTCCGCTTCCGAGCAGGGGTGGCCTAGAGCAAGAGAAGGAATATTAAGGAGCCATGCCAGCCCTTGAAGTGCAGGAAGACTCCCTCTGGCCTAAAGGAGCTTCAGAGAGAAGCTTGCGGGCCAATGTCAGGGCTAAGCAACCCCCCCGACACTACTTAGTACACAGCAATCTCCTGGCCCCTGTGCCCACAAGGACCTCTGCTCAAAGCTCTCACAGGGTAAGTCTCTTAATTCACTCCATACTTGGGCAGCCTGCCTGCCCAGCCAGCTGTGAGCTCCCTGAGACACACCAACCACTACTATAGCCCAGCAAGGTTGTCTGTCACTAGACCACCAACCTATGCCCACAGCATGAGAAGCCAGTGGAGGCATTTCAGGTTTGTGGCAAACCACAACTCAGAGGAGCAGTGAAAAGCTCCCTGGATAAAGAACCAAACTGTCCTATGCCCCTGACCAAGTCCCTTCAGCTATCTAGACTCCTCCTCCCCCTCAGGCTGCCCCAGCACAAGTCGAACACTGCCCAACTCTACTCTTACACCACTGAGAATGGGCTGGGGGCTGGAGGAGGAAAAGCATCTCACCAGGGGAAGTTTACTAGGTGGCTCGGGCTTCTTGACCACTGGAGTCCTGATGGCTCTGGGGACTGGGACCTCCCGAGGGGTCTTGGAGTTGGGCAGTACAGATGGTGACAGTGGCTGCACTGGAGGGGTGGGCCGAGGCACAGTCTTGACTGCAGTGTTAGCAGGCTTTCGGGGTGCCTCGGGTGGCTGGAGAAGCCTAGATGTACAGGCCTCCTCCCGGGCTACCAGAGCAGGAGGCTTTGGGGTGCTGCTGATGACAGAAGCCTTTCTGGGCTGGCTGGTTGGCCTCGGAGGTTGCAGGGAAGGGGGTCTGCTCGGGGCATTCTTGATCACAGCAGGTAAAGGAGGTGACCGAGGACGCTGAGGTCTACGTACAGGTTCCTAAAAGAGGTCCAGAGAGAGTGAAAACACTGACTAGTACAAGACACCTGAAGAAAAGCCCTCTCTTGCCCCTAGGCTTTACCTCAGTGGAAGGTCTGGTGGTTACTTCCAAAGGCAATTTCTTCAGGTCAGCTTGGGAACGGATGGGTGTGGTTTTCTGCAGGGGAAACATGATGAGGTTGTTTGCCTATCCTGGTACATTCAGGCAAACTCTTTGGATCCCACTATCTAGGACAGTGGACAAATAAAAAAGAAAACCTGGGCCACAGTCTTAATAGTACAAGTCTCCCATTCTCACTGGGAAAACAAAAAAATACCTATACACTAAGCCATTAGCAAATTGCAGGATTCTCTATGATTAACCCAGCAATTGAAAGAGTGGGCTAAATTCCCATAAGCAGCCCAAAAGAGGTGGGAAAAGCCTGATGAACAAGTCAGGGCATATGCCTAGGTTGTGGGCCAGGTCCCCCAGTAGGGGGCGCACAGGAGGCGGCCACACATTGAAAGGACAGGTGGGATTCAGCAAACAGGGAGGCATGCACAAGATGTCTGTGTTAACGAGAGCATCTGCACAGACACAGAAGCCAGAAAGCAATAAGCTTTTGTAACATATACAATAAAGGGCTGGTTCCACAAATCTATCTTAAAAAAAACAAAACAAAACAAAACAAAAAAAACAAAAAACAAACCCTGTCCTGGCTGGTATGACTCAGTGGATTGAGTGCCTGCGAATCCAAGATTCACGGGTTCAATTCCCAGTCTAAGGCACATGCCTAGGCTGCGGGCCAGGTCCGCAATAGGGGGTGCATGAGAGGAAGTCACACATTGATGTTTCTCTCCCTCTTTCTCTCCTTACCCTCTCTAAAGAATACATAAATAAATTTTTTTTTAAAAAGCAAAATAACCCTGACAAATCAAGGGGGGGGGGGCACAGAACTCTAATAAGCAATTCTATAAGAAACATAAAAAGACACATGAAAAATTGTCCAATTTTAGAAATATGAAAGAAATTCAAATTATAAAATGTATACCTCTGCCAATCAAATTTGCAGAAACATTTAAAAATATATGTATGGCCCTGGCTGGTGTAGCTCAGTGGATTGAGCGTCAGCTTGCGAATTGGAAGGTTGCTGGTTCCATTCCCAGTAGGGGCACATGCCTGAGCTGCGGGCCATGTCTTCAGCTGGGGGCGTGTGAGAGGCAACCACACATTGATGCTTCTCTCCTTCTCTTTCTCCCACCCTTCCCCTCTCCCTAAAAATAAAATAAAATCTTAAAATAAAAATGTACAGCTGGTGAAAAACAAAAATTAATAGATCTTCTGCAGGGTAATTTGGAAAGTTTTTAAAAGCCATAGAATTTTACAGAACCTTTTTAGTCTTTCAAATTCACTTTTAGAAAACTACCCCAAAGAAAATAACTATGTACTAAAAATACATATCTAAAAAACTGTATTTGTGTGTATGTCACAATACATCACGATCTCCATAGTTCTAATAAAATATATGTGTATTTACATGTATGCAAGCAGTCATAAAAAGATAGAAGAATACATAGTTAATGGTAGTTACCTCCAAAGTAAGATATTCATTTTCTAGAGTTTTTAAACATTCATAAATTAATTGGACCATTTTTTAATACATAAACAAGATGTCTTTTTAAAAGAATAATCAGGCATACTTGAGAACCAGTGTGCATGGAGATTGGGGTTGGAAAGCTTTGGCAGTACTCGGGGTGACAGTTCAAAGTGAGACTGAGCCTGCAGAAGGGAACCACTGAGTCTCCATCCCATCCTGGACAGAACACTGACACAGCCTGGCTTTGCCCACTGCCCATGACTACGCACTTGCAGGGCTTCCAGCTTCTCCTGCTGTTGGCGAATTTTCTCTGTCAGCTGCTTCTGCTTCTCTTCCTGTGTCTTCAGGTCCTTCTTGAACGTCCCTAAGGGAACCTTCTGCTTCTGCTCAGAAGCCTCACACCTGTACAGAGAAGGCGCTAAAGGAGGCTGTGGCAAAACAGGGCTCCGGGTAGGGCAAGGTCCTTCCTCCTCAGCCAACCCATACTGTCTCTCGCCAGAGCAACCACCTCAGAATTCCCAGCGCATGGAGTTATACTCACTGCAGGACACAAATATTCTTATTTCCAGGACACTTATTATGTGCAGCAAGACAGATGTAAAGATGTAAGCACTGACCTCAAGAAGCATAGTAAGTTATTTGCCCAAAGAGTGGAAAAAACATGGTGGAAGGATGGAGATACCCACAATCTCCTTGTTAAAAAAAGTGCTCACCGGTCCTGCTCAGGATCAGGATTCATGGAGCAAACCCAAGTGTCAGGATAATCTTTTTCCACAGAATTCAGTTGGAAGGGGAGCGTCCGCCACTTCAGACACAAATCTGTGACACAGAAATCATCCCCCAAAGTCAGCCACGCCAACCAACAATATCTATAGTCAGGCTCCTCCCAGATAGGTCCAAGGCAAAGACGTCCCTTTGACTTTCCATTCAAAGACCTTCACTCTGGTTCCCACTGTGCCTTTCTTACAGAACAGTAATACTTCTCAGGGAGTGATACCAGCAAGGATGAAAATTTTGTGTCGTGAACTCTCAGTGTCCCCAGCCCCTTTCCCTCCACCAGTAGAACCCTAGCTCAGTCATCACTCACACTATAAACAATGTGGTACCAAACCCACTGAAGTCTGGCAGGTTAGATGACTTTCTGCCTCAATCAGGAGGGACCAGTGAAACTCAGCACAGCCCTATGACTGAGCTCCCAGGGCCATCACCAAACAGACTCATATCCTAGTGGGACTCTGAGTCCATGAATGTCAGTCCAGTTAGAACGCCAGCATGGGGATGAAGAGAAAAGACGGTCATGGACTGTGATGGGAAGGAGTCAGAAGAAGGTTCTGACCACTGACTCACCACACTGGATGGTGATCGGGATTTCCATAGCTCTCCGGCGTTTGTAACGCAGGTCGCTAGATGGGGGCTGGTTCCAGTTGGCAGAGAGGTAGCCAAACTCATCCCAGAATTTGATGATTCCCCGCTGGGCTGGAAGGCAAACAACCACACATTGTTAGGAGACAGCTTCTCCTTCTTCCTAATTTTACCCCCTCAGGCAGTGAGTGCAAGTACCATAAAGGAGGTGAAGAGAAATGGGATTACCAATGGCGATGTCCTTCCAGTACTGTGCCAGGTGCTCCCCCATCGCCCTCAGTAGGTGCCGGTACTCCTTGGCGTCAGCGAAGTCCTGCTTGTTGTGTGTAGGCTCCAGGACCAGGTAGGGCACATCAACAACTCCAACAACCCCACCACATGCCCTGCATGGAGAAAGAAGACACAGCTCTGTCATTCCACTGGCTGAAATCCTCCCACCATCTGCCTTGGGCTGCAAAGCTCTCCTGCGGCAGTACTCACATGCCCCCTTCCAGCTGTGGGCCCACTTTCTCATACATCTTGATCAAGCGGCTACAGTTGTAGATGAACATGCCATCCAGATCCCGGTGTTCAATGTTGACCCCGAAAACAAAATTTAGTTCCTTAGGTTCTTTAAGCGCCCTGAGAAGGCAAAAGAAATTCTACTAGATCAACCAGTTAACACACAAAAACCATGGTGTTTAAAATGTGTTAAGCTTAAACTTGAGACATGTTTAGCAAAAAGTTTTGTATTTTCATTCAATATGTAAACTGTTAGACTTCATAGGAATAAACACATAATTAAAAGCATACAACTTTGGCCTTTGGTAACAAAACAGAGTTATATTTAGTTTTGAAGGGGATACTATGCCACTGCTGCAAATCTGTGTTACATGGTGAATAAACACAAGGTTTTCTGCATACCTACTCCACTAATGTGACAGTAATTTTGAAAAGGCAAAAATTCACAACAATGAACATATAGTGTGACAGAAGAGACCGTCATGTGACAAATGTCAGCAAAATCATGGAAACTGAAAAACAGATGCAATAGACGGACTCCAACAGAAGAAACCTGAAACCTATGCCTGTGACAAGGGAGCCACAAGCAAGCCAGGAATTCAAGGCCCAGAGCCCAGAGAGGCTCCACACATAGAGGCGGGACAGGGAGATACCTCAATGAGCCAGGACAAATACCCATTCTGGATGAGAAAGGTCCAAAACTCAAGCTATAGCATTATCCCACAAATGTAACCAGAGATAACAAAATTAAGAGTAAATATCACCAGGTAGTAGAAGTATAGCTAAGTTTAAAAAACTTTTTAATGTGTTCCATATTTTACAAGCTTTATACAATGAGCATTTTAGATAGTCTCTAAAAGAAAAGAAAAAGAGCAAAGGCAAGGGGGGAAACGGGAGGAAAGATAAAAGAGGAGAGAGTGCGACAAGGGTGAAGAAAAGGAAGGAAAGAAACACAGACCAATAGACGGGTGCCAGTGAGAAAGGTTTGGTGTTCAGTTCCATTGGCACTGCCCTGCCTTTTCCTAGCTCAAGAAGGAACTGAGCTAGGAAAAACTGTTCTACAACAGACATTTGACCAGCATTTGGGATTACAACATAAATGGCTTTCTCAAAGCAATCTTTGTGACAGAATGGCAAACTTACAGGGTAAGGGGGAATTCCTCAAGCTCTCTGTCAAAAATCAGTACAAAAACGCCATAATCTTAAAAGGTCAAAGGCCAGCCCTGGCACTCACCGCTGCTTAGCATCCTTGATCCGCTTCTTGACATCGGCTTCTCTACGCAGGGTAATGGCTGTGTTCTGGACTTGCCTCAACATTACCTGGAAACAAAGGTCAGCATCCAGTGAGGGTAGCAGGTGCTCTGGGCCATAGCAGGAAACATTACAACACATCTAAAACTTTACTTTACATCACATGGAAGCAGACCACCACCTAGATATTTACTTCTTTGCTACAAAAAATGGGGACAAGCTCAAAAGCTGTGTTTCACTTGGCCAGGCTTACTGAAACAACAGCCTACAGAGGTGTGTGTCAGACTGGGAGGGTCAGAGAACTGCTCTGACTCTCACCACTGAGTAACCTGGGGCAAGTGATGCTTTTCACTTCAATTTCTCTTCCTATAAACCAAGGATACGAACAGTGTTCATACCTTATATGGTTATTTGGGATGTTGAAATGATCAACCAAGACTTTGCCATACAGTGTGTTTAACAGTGATTAGGGAAACATCAAAACATCCCAGCTTTAGGGCAAAGGTTTCATGACTGTCTTGGGGCTGAGCCAGGCCAGCTCTGGGATCCTACTGCCAGAAATGCCAGAGAAGAGCTGTGCAGGTCTGGATCCTTACCCTGGAGTCTCGTGTGAGGTCTCCACCTAAGCGTAGTTCTAATGTCCGAGCTTTGGTCTCCGCCTCCCGGGCCTTCTCTTCAGCTGAAACCCAAAAGAAACCATGATAAGGAATTCAAAGGTTCAAAAGTCTTAGCAATCCTTCTCGGATCCCACAGTGCAGTCCCTACTGGACAAGGGAAGAGTGAGTGAGTGAGTGTGTGTGTGTGTGTGTGTGTGTGTGTGGTGTGTGTGTGTGTGTGGTGTGTATGTACACTGTCAATGTACAGGTGAGCTGGTGAGCAACCTCCCTGCTTGGACTGCAGAGTCAATTCAAAAAGGAAAATCAAGGAGGGAACAAGGAAACTGGCACTATTATACCTGACACATGCTTTTCAAACTTTACAAATGAATCAGAGCAGGTCAAAAACTGCCAAAGGCAATGCAAGTTAAACCCTAAGCAACAGCTGGAAGTTATCAAAATCCTCAGCCAATCACTCTCCATTAAGCAACCAAGAAGCCCTGTTATCATGACAGACCTTGAGATTTTTGCCCTGGAGTCATAAAAACCAGTTTAACAAATATATGGGGCAGAGGACAGTGTGGGATTCTTCACTCTGGGCAAGCCCAGCAGTTGACATTGTTTTAGGTAAGTTCCTACAGATGGCTGAAGAAGAGAAAAGAATCGGGAGAAAAACTTGCTAAGATTGGCCAGAGCGGGAGGGGTGCAGGAGGAACTGCCCCAAGGTATTGGATGGAGCTTTTTCCTGGATCTTGCTTTAGCCACAAGCTGTGTACCCAGCGACCCCCATTTAACCCCTCCTGCATAGGGGCAACATTACCAATTCGTGCTACATGCTCGGCTTTCTTCACCTCCTGCTCTGCCCGAGTCTTGAACCGGCTTGATGTATACTTGTACATCCTGAACAGGGGAAAAAGCAACCTAAGGGCCCAAACAGCAGGGGGCAGGGCAACAACCCAAGCAGCTCAGGAAGCACCCAGACTTCCTGCCTCCTCCCAAGCTGCATTGTCCTGGTCCCTCCTGGTGAGTCAGAGGCATGCTTATTTCAGCAAAAAGACTCAACTCATTCTACTTGCCCCTTGCCTCCTGATGCAGTTTCATAAGCAACCTAACTACTCACAAGGTGTCATTAATCCCACAGCATAAACAAACCTCAGTAATTAGCCAGGGCCTTTGTTTTGCTGTGTATTGTCTAACAGCCCTGAACCCAAGAGGCTCAGACAGCTAACTGTGCCAGGCAGGGCACCTTCCACGTCACAGAGGGCACTTACCCTCAATGAGCTTCACCAACCAATCTCTACAGCCCATTGGCTACCTCTGTCTCTTCCTCAAGAGCCAGAAGTTCCCCACAGTAAATCACAGACGGCTTAAAGGCTCTAACACAGTTAACACTGTTACAACCTCTCATCTAGCCATCACTCCAACAATGCCCTAGAGAAGAGTGGCCAGGCCCAAGGGAAACAGCAGGGCAAGGTGGGCAGGCCCCTACCTGGGCTTATACAGGCAGCAAGAGAGCCTCTTGGTCTGCACCTTGTGCCCATGAATGAAGATTCTCATCCGGGGATCAATATAGAGAACAGCAGCGTAGGCACGGAATGAGCGCCGTTCAGGCTTCCTGGAGGTGGCAAGAACAAAGGAGTGCTGTCACCCGCCCCACAACCAGCCTCACCAAGAATACAGTAGGACAATCTTTCTGCAGGCCCTCCACCTTTCCACCTTGCACATTGGCTTCTCCTGCCACACTAAAAGTGTACTCCCACAGTGATGGCATCACATCCTGCCCCCTCTCATGTCCCCAGCACAGATGCCCCATAAGACATCTGACCCAGATGGCCCCACCATGACCTGGTAATTCCTCCCCCCAATCTACAGCCTGTTTCTTCTTCTGTCAAATCAAGGAATTAGAGCAAGGAATCATTCACCCTTTCTTTTGGCTTAGCTGAGGATCTGCTGTGCTATGATTCCCTTTGCCTTGAGCCAAGATGTGGAGTTCTCAGTTTCATGAACTCTTAATACTGGGAAATTGGAATGAGCTCTCCCCTCAAGTCACCTCCTGAGCTTCTCCCAACTGACAGAATGGGTACCAGTTCCAGGGCTTCCCTCCCTTCCCAGCCACACTCACGTGCCCTCTGGGGAAGTCTCTGCCATCTGGATATCTCTTGGATTTGACATTATGTCTAGCTCTGGCTGTCCGTTATCCATAAGTTTGAGATTAAAGATGATCACCAGTGTTCCTAGAGAACAGAAATCCTTTCTTTGTGCCAGGTGCCCCCAGCCCCTTCCCACACCACTTGTGGGCTCTGGAGCTCCAGATTCCAAGCAATGCAGACTCAAAGCCTACTTACCACTGTCCCCAGGAATCTTCGTGAACTGAGTCATCACTTCCTCCTCATTGCGGAAGGGAGAATACTTGTAGATGAGCTCTGTCTCAATGGAGAACTTTTCCATGTTGTCTGTGACAGGCTCCCGGGTCCGAGCATTCCAGGTGGGCAATGGGACTATCACCTTTGGAGTAAGCACAGACAGACACTTCCCCTAAAAACTGCATTCATCTTATCCCTCCCCACAGTGGCTCCACACTGACCCAGACGTGAGGCCCAAGCTCCACAGCCCTTCACCAGAGGCTCTGTGGCTCCTGCCTCTTCCCAAGAGTCAGCCTCACATCACTAGGTCCTCTGGCATATGCTAGGTTATGCCCTGGGGCCTCTGCAAAGGGGGCTTCTTGCTTGGAATGTCCTTGGCCATTTTCTTAGTTTGTTAATACTCTTACTCTTTCCACTAAGGAAAATATATTGGCAATTATCTAGTGAAGCTGAAAATACACATAAACATAACTTATAACTCAGTAATTCCATTCCCAGGTATACATCTTAAGACAAACTTTTGTATATACAGGGTCCAGCAGAAGTAACACCTGCTTGATTGTGGTTGGTAGGGTAATAATATGGGTATAGTAATTGACAGTTCTAATTTGAACACCTCACCTAAAATGTCATATAGAGTGCTTATGTGTGATACTATTATGATATAAAATTACACGCTTATGATTTTGTAATTAAAAACAGGTGTTAGTTGTGCCAACCCTGTATATACCAGCAAACATGTACGAACAGCAAAATATCCATTACAAAGTAAAATTAAACTATAGCATATTCATACAATGGAATATTGTACAGTGATGAAAATGAACTGACAGCTACCAGCATCAACACAGACGAATCTCACAATGTTACATGACAGAAGCAATTTTTTAAAAAAACCTACGATGAGTCCACTTATATAAAATTCATAAATATGCAAACCCAAACTATTCAAGAATACATACATAAGTGACTAAACTATAAAGAAAAACAAGAAAATCATCACAAAGTCACTGAAGACAGTTCCTTCGGGGGTCGGTAAGCTGATTGGTGAAGGACACACTGGGGACTTCTGGCATTAATCCATGGCGGTGGCTACATGGGTATTTGCTTTGTAACCATTTGCTAAACTGTACATACATTTTAATATACTCTTATGTGTAGAATTAAATCTTACATCTAAGTAATGTTTTAAAAACATTACCCTTGTCAATTATGTCTCTATAAAGCTAGAAAAAATCCTCCTCTTTCATTAAAGACCCTACCTCAAATGCAACTTCCCCAGAGGCCTCACTGTGCTTCGCCCCCTACCCAGGCAGTTTTCTCAGGGAGCCCTAAGGATGGCTGCCTGCTGGGATTCCCTCAGATGTTCAAATCAGATGGCCCACCGTGAGGAAAAAAACCTCCCTATTTTGACAAGTGCTATGGTGATAAACTGTTAAGAGTTCTGACAGATTTTGCTGGTTTCTAAGAAACTTCATGCCTATAGTATCCAACCCCAGAACTGGTTTGGACACATTCCTAACCAGCCAAAAATGATCTTATTTTGAAATCTTGGCTGAGTTCGCACTACAGTACAATCCAAAACAGTGACCTTCTAGCACCAAGTAAGGAAAAAATTCCAACCTAGCTTTCCACCAGGGAATTGAATTCCATTTGTGTTCTGTGAATTTGTACCTCATCTGCACCTCCCATTCTTCACAGCAGTCCCAGGTGACAATGGCATTATTTTAACTGTGGGCATTCATTCAGTCCCACTGGCACTCATCCCTGTCACTGAAACACTTCTCCTTTAGTTTCAATGTAACCACTGTTCCGGTTTTCCTCCTATTATTCTAGCCACTCCTGTCTCCTCTGCCACTTTCTCCTCTCCCCAGCCTTTAAATGTCAGCCTGCTTGAGATCCTTGGTCCTCTTCTCACTCTACAAGCTCTTTTGGTTGAGCTCACCTGCTACCATGAATCCTGGAGCCAGGCTCCCTCAAGCTCCAACCTTATTTTGAATGCCCTGGACAAAACACTCTTCCCCTTCAATTATCCCTCTTCCATTCTTCCCCAGCTCCAGCCAACCAGTCCACCATGCCCAACTGCCACACTAGAACCTGAGTCATCCGTGACTCCTTCTTCCCCTTTCCTCTCTCCACTGACCAAATATCAAACCTGTGGGTCCCACAAGCTAAAAAGATGAAGAGAACTCCTAGTTTCTCTCACCTCTCTGCTGTGAGTCCCTTCAGGGTAAACACAGAGGGCTTTTCAAGTAGTCCACTCTAACACACCAATCTCTCCAGTCCAACCACTACACAATAACCAAACTCTCTTTTCAAAAGAGAACCTGATACCACCACACCCTTGTTTAAATTCTCTGTAACAGCTGCTTTTAATAAAGTCTCATATACTCACCAAGGCCCTGAGGTCAAGCCTGACCTGGCCTTCCCTGCTCCTTAGAGGCCACCATCTTTCTTCAAGTGGCCTCTCTGCCAAGTCCCTTCCCACAACCCGAACAGCCTATTTATAGTTACTTAAACACCCTCCTCCGGCCACCCTCAGTCTGTAAGGAAACATTCCTGAAAACCCGAGCCTACGCTAAATTCTCCTGCCCCACCATTTCCCAGGAGCCTGTTTTCCCAGCTGCAGCACTTTCCTCATTCTGAATGAACTAACACTCACCAAAAAGGCAAACTTAACTCACTGGCTTGCTAAGTGAAGATGGTAGAAAAAGATAACCTTTTATTCCCAACATGAACTAATTTGCTATGATTTAGGCTCATATCTAAACAGGACTAGTACAAATTTAATCACAGGTAACCAAAAAAAATTTGAAAACTTTTAACTGATTTCACCACTCTGCTGATGTGATGGCCATAGAATTCTCTCTGTAGACCCTCAGCCCCTTCTCTCAAGCTCTAGCCTCCATTTCTCACATATGAAAGGAGATGAGTCTAGTCTGAGACCAGACAGACCAAGGCCTTCTGTGATCCACTCCCACCCCCCATGAGAAGGCAAAGGCCTCAGCAGACCAGCTCTGCAGATATCTGGCATCAGAATATTATAGGCTCATTAGGCCTTCCTTCCAGCATAACAATAATCATCCAGGGCTGAGTGTCAGCTGTCATTTAGCAAAAATCTTACACTGATCTTTTCCATATGCTCACCAGTTTTCCTACCTACCCAGTCCCTGTGGGTATCTGACTTGTAGCTTCTGACATAGAAAATGCACTCGTAGCGCATTCCACAAAATCACCATCATATGGGAAAGACAGCACTATTCTTGTTATTATTGCCAGCTGTAGTTTCCACCCATAGTGACAGAAGCCCCAAATACCCACCTGGAAAAACAACTTTCTAATAGTGACACCCTAAGAGACTGAATCAAGCTATAGATCTAGGGGAGCTGTAAATCCAAATCTTGGTTCCTGCCACTTGACTGCCCGGAGCTTTGAGATTTTACTTCACATTAAGATTATCTGCCTTAACCGCTCAACCAATTCATCCAACCAGCTAACCCACTTAACAGGGGCATGGCTGCAATCTTGCAACCCCAATGAACCCAGGATTGCAAATGACCTATGAAAAACAGCCTGGGCAGACCCAGGAAATATGGAACGGCAACTCAGACCACGAGGATAAGACCTACTTCATCAATGCCTTCCTCCTCATGAAAGGTACGAGACAGGAAGAGGCAGGTCATGGTGTCTTCCTTCTTGGTGAAAAGGATAAAATCCTTCCCAATGCGCATTGAACCTCTGAAAAGAAGCAGAAATGTGTTATTCTCCAAGTGATTCAAAAGCTCATCTGAAAAAGGAGCAAATCTACCCTCTGGACATTACTGAAAGGCCTCTGGAGGGCTCCCTAAAGGTCTCCCTAAGGTCCCAGGACCCTGAGCTAAGTTCCACAGCCCTCATCCCCTCTCCTTCCATGTGACATTCCTCCTCTGCCCTTCCCCTGGCCTCAGTCTTTCGTTCAAACCTTGTCAACCACGCTTACTCACCATGCAGGGATCTCCCAACACCCTTCTAGGGCACATTCACTGCCAATCATCAGCCCCACACTCCAGCTATTGTCACAACAAGTAACCCAGCTGCCCATGCTCCAGGTTTATGCCAGCCATACAAGGGCTGCTATATATACCCTCTGACTGTGCCACCATCAGATTTCACTCTAGTAACTGACACCTTTAATACCTCACCTTCCATGCTAACCACAACCAGTTACCATCCTGTCCTTCCTTCATTAATATAAACCCCCTCCCATCCACGCATCAAATGGCAGCACTGTCAAGGAAACAGCCCACTACCTATGCTCACAAGTCCTCAAAAAAAAAAAACAAACAAAAAAACAGTACAATCTCAGGCCTCAGCCAAAATGGGGGCTAACTGTATAAAATATAATTCTTGATCAGTTTTTGAAGAGGCATATAATTGTCTCAGGTCTTATAACTACAGCCATCTTCTGGCTCAGAATTGTTTTGCCACCTCAAGCTCATTATGACACAGGCAGGTCCCTGCTTTTGGATGCAAGTGGTTCTGGGAAATGTGCCTAGAGGCTCACTTCCACAAGGCAAAAGTCTGAATGGAATCAACTGCTTCCTTCCTCCATCTGGTTCATCCAAGGAACAGGTCAGGGCAGGCCTTTCCAGACAACATGAAACAGTTGCCCAGCAGAAGCATGAGCACCAGTGGGAGGACTACCCACTGAACAATGGAGCTGTTTAGCTCCTTTCTTCTGAGCAGCATGTAAGGCTTTATGGCTATTATCTCATTAGTCCTCATAACACTCCTAGGGAGGTGATGGCAATAAGAAGTCTTATTACTCTCATCTATGTACAAATATAAACCAGACTGGTATGCCAAATACACAAACAATTGCTATGTCTCATTTTCCCAAATGCTCAGGAAAACTCCCAGGACACTATCCAGAGACACCCTGGAGGCTGCCAAGTTCTATTTCTCCTCTTCTAGTTCCCAAGATTCTGGCAATGCTCCTTCCCCTGACAGTTTCACAGTGCTCCTTCCCTAAAGCTTTTGGATGGCATCATAAGGCACATTATCTTGTCTTCTGTAAAGTTTATTTTTGCCTAAATTTGGCAAAAACTCTCAATTTGTGCCTCTTTCTTCCCACTGTCTTTGAACATGACCTTGAAGGCTGAATAGCAACAACACTGAAATGCCACCTTTCTGCTGGCTTCCCTGCTTCTCAGCCCTATTCTCACCACAAATCACTTCCTCCTAAAACTCTTTTTGAACTTCTGAAATGGTTTCCAAATAAATTCACTCTGAACACCAGATGGCTCCATCTCAATGGGTCCTTTACGAAAGTTTTTCTACTAAAAATATGGAAATGACAACACCTTGAACTTCTGTACATATTCCTTCCCAGTTTTCTAAGCTTTTTCAGTCACATTTTATTTGCTGCTAAAACTTACTCTGTAAGAGAGAATGCCAGAGATGAGAATCCTGTTTTCTAAATTGGAAAATAGATATTCGGAGAGATCAAATGGTTTACCTGAAGCCAGAGAACTGATAAGACAGATAGGAGAAAGTTGGCCTGCAATCAAGGCCATGTTTCTTACACCACAATGCCTCTGGAGGACCTCACCTGTTGAGGACTTACCTAGCCCACACCAGAATCGCCTATAGAACCTATGAAAAACAGATTCCTAGGCCCTATCTGAGACCCAGTGATTTAGGTCAGAAATCTGACATTGAAAGATCAAAAAAAAAAAAAGAAATTAAAAAAGAGGCTAGCCCTGGCTGGTATGGCTCAGTGGACTGAGCAACAGCCTGTGAATTGAATGGTCACTAGTTTGATTCCCAGTCAGGACACATGTCTGGGTTGCAGGCCAGGTCCCCAGTTGGGGGCATGTGAGAGGCAACCTATTAATGTATTTCTTGCATGTTTCTCTCTCTCACCATTCCCTTCCCCTCTCTCTAAAAGTAAATAAATAAAACCTTAAAAAAAAAACACACACACACAGAGGCTAGAACCTGGCTAGTGCTCTCACAGCAATGATAGCATTTAATCTTTAACCTACTCAGTATGCATCATAATTTCAATTTATAGAACAGGAAGCTGAGGCTCAAAAAAGTAATTAAGAGGCTGAGGTGATATTTGAACTTTAGTTTCTCCGACTTAAATGAAACGAACAGCTCTGACTTTGCCTTCAGAAAGCCCTGGTTCATATCTCTGCTCTACACTTGGACATTTTTATATTTTGGGGCAAATCACTTCACCCCTATAAACCTCAATTTCCTCATCTGAAAATGAGAATGAAAGTACTTACAACTCAGAGGACCACAGGGAAGATTAAACAAAATCATTCAAGTAAAGTTTTTAACATAGTGCCTGGCATATGGTAAGTGCCTATTATTACCATTTGGTTTCTGCCCTGAGAGAGAAATCGAAAAGCCCAGGAACCAGGTCCCCCGATGTCTTGGGAAGCACTTTCTTTCAAAGCAGGCTCCATGTGAGGGACAACTAATGCCGTTGACCACCACACTCTAACAAACAAAATAACACGTTTCCACAGCAAAATTGGAAACGTGAACTAGAATTCCGTTTGTGCAAACTCCAACTCCACTAAATCTTATTCCATTCGAAGGTATGTACAGCTGGAAGTGAGCATTTCAGAAATAGAAACCTTCCTCTTGGGGCTTCAGTCAAAACCAGAACAACACATTCCAAACACAGAACAAGTGGGAGCCAAGGGCTGAGAAAGAAGTCCCAAGGATTTAAAGACATTAGGTAGGTCCCTGCTACAGGACCTAGCAGGGTATGAGAGTGGAGACCATGCCCTCCAAGAAGGGAGGGTTTGGGTCTCTCTGACTCACCCTGGATCTCAGTGCCTAGCACAAAATGTGGTATGTGGCAGATGATCAGGGTACACTGCTACGCCATGAAGCAACCTCCTCACTATCAGATACATATCAACCCCACAAAACTATCACTCAATACCTCAACCATGCGGTAAAATAGCAATTTGCAACAGGAGGAGAGGTGCTACACCAGATCACAGTGCCAAGAGAAAAGCTTCTCCCACCTCAACTAGTTTTGGACATTCATACTTTTCAATCCGTGAAGTACACTGGGCTGAACAATAGTCCATCCCCAACTACTCCTTTTAAACTTGCCTTCTGCTCCAGAGTTACAGTGATAGAGACAAGGAGGAGGAAAGTTTTCATGGGACAGGAACAGGAGAGTGTCACTTGATTTTGTTTTGAGTCCTGTGACAGGCTTCTAGTATACTTACGATTTTAACCCATTCCCATACTGCCCAATCTGGGTGGACTCAGGCGTTCGTTTGGCTGACTTCCCAAACTGGATCACACTGGCAGCATCGCCTAAAGTGACAGGCATAGGAAAGTGTGAAAAGTTTGCATTTCTTTCTCAGGCTCCTCAAAAATTGAAGGCCTGAGCCTTGCTAACCAAAGCAGGGCTGTGTATCTAGTGAAAACCTCTGCCCAAGGAAATTCGCAACCATGAGGCAACGGGACATAACCCCTGACTAGCCTGTCAGTTTAAGTTAAGCCATGACTATGACCATGTTCTGTTACCCAAACAAAGTAATAAGGCTTAAGGCTAGGAGAGGGGTTCCTATAGTTTTGGCTCGAGAATGTTGTAAAAGCTGATACATATAATGTCAAAAGATAGGCAATCTGACTGATTCAGGCTACATTCAGAAGCTATCTCCCATGCTAAGACAAGATCTAGCATATCCATTAGTGGAATTAAGCCTGAGATGTTGCAACAGACTCCTCTCTCTGGGTAGATCAAGTCACAGAAGTGAGACAACAAAAAAAGAAGTTAATACAGTAAGTAGTTTATAAAAATGTTTATGGTACATCTTCCCCAAAATAAGCAATCACTTACTTGAATCCATCCCTGCTCCATCATCCAAAAAACAAAGCATAAATCCTCCTCGAAGATCCTCTCGCCTTTCTGTAAAAGAAAAGGCTGCCATTACTATGTGGTTTACCCTCCAGAGAGCAGCAACATGGGTATGATCAGAAGGTGGATCAATGTGAAGGTTAGTCCACAAAGGTGAGGTAAACCTAGCTTCTCCTTGTAACAGACCTAACTAGTGTGAGTTAAACATCAGGGCCCTTGGAGATGGAAATTCCCAAAGCTTCTCCAATAATTTCTAGTTCATGACAAAGCTTGAGAGACTATATATGGAGGACAAGGAATACCTAGCTCAGCACCCAGGACTACTGAATAGACATGTATTTCACACATACCTCAACCATCCCTCTGCCTGTCTCCACCTTGATTACATCCACCTCTACTTTCTACTGTGAACCCCAAGTCACTGAAGTACTCCCACCACTGCATGCTATACCTTCTCAAATGCAACAAGGAATCTCCTTTCTGGATTAAGTTCAGACAAAATGATCAAGCCAGACATACTATGTGCATTGTGGTGGGTGGCAGCAGCTATCTATAATTCAAATTATTAAGTCTCTATGTGACTATCCCCCAGACTGCAGTTTCTGGGCTATCTGTATTCACCACTGAATCTCCAGATGGCTATGGGTCCTTGAAATGGCTCCTCTACAGAGGATTAAGATGGCACAGAGGGGTATAGTGAAAGCTGCCTGGTTCCCAGCTGGGTAAGCTTGACTGCAAGAAGAAATAATCCTTTGAGGGTAAGTTACAGAGCAGCCATGGCAGAGTTTCTCTGCCAACAGGAAGGAGCACAACAGACTGTGACTGCCATTCCAGTGAGTAGAAGACACTCTTCTTTTAGCAGCTGTCTTTTGCAGTGCCAAGTGGTTACTCAGAGTAGTCTGGGTCATGTCATGAACACTGGAAAAGATTCCCAAATAGGGCAAGGCCCATACTACAGTTTCCAAGGTGCCTTTTGACCCAATGATGAGGACTAGGTAGGCAAAGGAGAGACAGCAGAGGCCTTGGAATCAGAAGAGCACTTCTATTAAAAGGGAGGTCTATGTAAGGTACTATAGGAACACACCCAGGGCTGCTTTGAAGCCTAGTTCCTAACTGAAGAATTTTTGTCCCCCCTAAGCTGCAGTTCACCAATTTTATACTACTATTTAAGCTGAGAAATCTGTTTAAAATGTTCTATGTCCTCCTCTCATGCTAAAGATTCAAGTGAGTCATGACCACCTTCTGTTAAATGGACTATTTAATGTAATTTAAAATGCTATTTCAGAAGTACTATAAACCACAGATATTCGAGTACCACTCAGTGTTTGGGAAGGTAAACTTTGCTGAAACATTAATAAGTGCTTCTTCAAAGTTAAAGAACAAGAACATTCCTGGAAGTATTACTGACAGATAAGAAAATCTCTCCTAATGGCAGTGCCCTTATCAGTCTAGAGAATCCAAATGAGATCTAGCAAGCAGGACCAAGTACAAGAAAAAAAGTGCATAAAGGTTTCAAAGTTCATTCTAGAGGGAGTAAAGTGTCATGTGGAGACTCAAACTAAGTCAGGTACAGATTATGGTAAAAATGTTCTAAATCTAGCCAAGTGCCATTATGCTATACACTTCAGCCATAAACTACACGAAGACGCTGCTTTGGGACCTAGAAATTGGTTCAAACTAAGTGCATTAGAAAAGTCCCCAAGGATCACTGGTGGCATTTCTTGAACGCTATGTAGGAAGTTACTTTTAGGCCCTTTTGTTTCTTATAACAGAACTTTGCAGGCATCACTAAACAATGGGTCTGAGATTCCTTTCTTGTTCAAGGACTTCAAGATTTTTCATTTGGTTTATGAAGTTAAGAAACCCACCTGTAGAGGATCTTCCTAGCCACATGGTGACCTAGAGCCTGTAAGCTGCTGGTAGTGTCCAGATCCATGGTCACGTGCAACACTTCAGGGCCAACAGAACTAGCCAACATAGCAATGACTTCTTCAACTTTGTAAACAGGCAGTGTGGCATCTTTACCTAGCTACAATGCTTATCCCCATCACTTGTTTATTTGATAAATGCTTACTATGACTCCCTTTGTGCCTGACTCTGTCGTGAAGATAACAGCAGTGAACAATGCAGATGTGAGCACTGCCTTCATGGAGCTTACAGTCTAACGGATGCTACTCTCTGTAGCAAATCAGGTAAACAGGAGGATTTAAGGAGGAGACTAAGAGGAGTATCAGCTACAGCAAAATGTAGTTTGCTCTAGCTGAAAGCTTGTTAAAGATTCTGGGGCCCACCCTAGACAGTCTGATTGTGTAGGTCTGAGGTGGTACCTGAGAGTTTGCTTTTCTAACATGCTCCCACATGTCCATCATGGACCACTCTGAGAATAACTAAGCTCAAGCAAGAACTACAAGGTTTCTTGCTCAAAATTATCTCCCCAGGCATTCCACAAGTTAGGGATACATTCCTAACACCTGGTATTTACTTTAATCAGTCAATTGAGTGATATCTGAAGCCTCCAAGGAAAAGATTTTGATGAAAAGGGAAGAGGGGTTCTGGACAGAGAAGAGTCTAAGTAGCTGGGGGTTGTATGCTCCCCCTCTCATTATACAAAGCCAAACTGTCTTCTTTGAGTTGTGCTTCAGATCCTGGCAGCAGCTATGTAAGATTATCAGAGCCAGTTTGGAAGGCTATACATCTAAGATTCCCCCAACATGGCCAAGTCTGGCTTCTCCAAATTAGCCTCACATCTCTCCACCAACTCCACTGAAAAGACAGCAAAAAGAAAGAAATGAAAGGATGTAAAATGCAACTATAAGTCAAAAGTCAGAAAAAGATAAAATACTGTTTTCCTTAGCAGAGATTGTAACAAAATGACTTCCAAGTTCTTCACTGTACTTTGCAATCTATTTGAACAGTATTCGTTTCAGTTACATTTGCTCCGACTAATTTTCCATTTATTAAACACTGACCTCACCTCACAGAAGAGATCTTTCTTTGAGGGGTGGCACTCCCTAACCAAGGAAGTCAAGAAGTAAAAACAGTCTACTTCTACAGGCACCTTATAGTCTGGCCCCATCTAATAGGAATGCTTTGGGTAAGTGAACACCTCTACAATATGACAGTCTGGTTCCTTCCTCACCCTTCTTAGGTTTATCTTTTTAATTATTATTTTTTTAAATCCTCAACCGAGGACATGCTTATTGATTTTAGAGAGGGGAAGGGAGGGAGAAAGGAGAAAAATGTCAATCAGTTGTCTCTTGTACTTACCCAACAAGGAGCTGGAGATTTAACCCACAACCTAGGCTTGTGCCCTGACTGGGAATCAAACCCACAAGCTTTTGGTTTGTGGGACACCGCTCTAACCAACTGAGCCACACCCACCAAGGCACCCTCCTTAAGTTTAAATACAATCTTCTAAAACATGACTTTATGGTGAATTGAAACCACATATTATATTTAAGTAAATTGCCAAGTTCAGGATCAATCTAGTTTCAAAATGGGAGACAGGAAAATACTGCCCCCCGCAAAACTTTATACTGCAGGCACACCTTGGAGATATTGCAGGATTCACTACCAGACCAACGCAATAAAGCAAGTCATAATCTTCTTGCTAGCAGAGGATCTTGCCTTCAACTTGTAAAAAGTGCAACATCTGTGAGTCACAATAAAGTGAGTTGCAATAAAGCAAGGTATGCCTATATTAAATATTACTAATTATATTATTTTATTTGTAAAATGAGGTTGCTTTTATTCCTCCCATAGAAAAGTATGAAGTTAAGGACACTTCAGTCAAGACTCCCAATCTTAAGAGTAAATCATGTCTTTTTCCAAAATGCTATAGTGCTTAGCATTTCTATCATACCATTTAATCCTTAACTGCCTATTGTTATCTAATCCTCTGCAGAGTGCTGCCGGTCCAATCTCATTCTCTCTGGACACCTCCTAAAGTTAAACAGGAGTAGCACTGAGCACAGAATAATTGGGCTCTTGGCCTTTTGTTCATTTAAATTGAAATCTAACTGTTCTGCAGCATTCTCAGTGCCCACAACTAAATTTCCTTGTTGAAATTCACCTACCAAAGGTGAGAGAGAAGGGAGCAGAGATTATCTATTTTTAAAAGCATCATCCAAATAGACTTGGTTATGATGATTTGTCCCTTCAACGTCACTTGGAGTATGGGCTCATTCTCTGCTCTGCCATTGTGCAATGATTAAAATAGCCACCACTTCTTTCAGAGATGCTGTAATTACTCCTCAATAGAGTACACTAAGTTAAAGGATACACACTGGCACCTCCATGTGGCCTGAGGGTTTAGTAACCATCTTCTAATGGTCTTTCGTTGTGCCCCCTTTTCCTGTTAGCTTCTTCTAAAAATAAAGGAGTCTTATTTTCACCACTCTGGCAGAGCCTTTTAAACAAAAGGCTTTTGGAAATTAAGCAGTATAGCTGACTTTTAGCTGTTCTGACTATTTTCTTTACTCGAAAGTGTATCAGGCATGAGAAATTTGTATCTGGGGAGGTTCTTCATATTATATGAAATTGGAGTCTCTAGTAATTACTTCTTAGTTGTGTGCCTAGTCCCATTTATCAAAATGGGGTCTATGATGAAAAGGAATGATCTGGTAACTGTGTATTTCCATAACATTCAAATCTTCTCAGAAGCTAGTTAATGCTATTCAAAATATTACCTCAAACATTTTAGAGGACTTCAGTAGTTTGTCAGAAAAACAGATCATGGTATCCAAATTAGATTTAAAAGCTATCTTCTTCCTCTATTTGGCTTCCAGATTTTAAGCATTCAAACAACCAAAAAGAAGTACTGGTACAAACACTGAACAAGCAGAAAGCAAACTGCTAAAAAAAAAAAAAAAAGCCACTGATAATGACTAAGAATTCTTCTACTGTTGCACCCCCTCTTACTGTCAAACAGAGCCAATTAAATAAGCAAACAGTACATTCTTCAATATCTTTAAATTTCAAGCACAGCAGCCCTCCTTCCTACCTGACACCTGTTTTAGAACATCTCCTCTGCAAACCTCAGTGCCAACCCAGTTACTCAGCTGTTTTATGCAATGGACACCAGCAACTCTACAAGTTGGGCTCTTCACCACGGCTACAGGAGAAACTGGACTCCAACAAGATCTCTCTTTGGCCACAGGTACCACAAACCTGTTCACCTGCTAAGTTCAACCAGTAAAATCACTGGTAATTGGTATTACACTCCCCACTACCCTACTCCATCATCCCCATACATCTTCTGATGGCTATTTGAATAGATCTATAGATCTGGTCACCCTGTGTTAGTTTCTTCACACCAATATTCTTGGTTTCTATCATCATCCATGCCTAACCAGGGCTACCCTGTTTCTGCCTAAGACCTATAGTGACTGTGCCATATCCTTAGGCTCCAAAAACCAGTTATTTCCTATTCATTTCTTCTCAGGCATTACAACGAATGCATTAAAAGGAACTGGGCATTAGAAGAAAAAAGTGACATCCATCTTACCTGCATAAATATCTATTCTTGTGGCATCAGCATCTCTGCAAAAAGGGAAAAAATCAAGATCCAAATGAGAATCTGAAATACCAACAATAAATATGCATAGTTTTCAAGTGGGATGGATACTATTTTGAGTATATTTTCAGGAATTCAGTCATTCTACATACATTAAAGCTATACATTTTACACTTGGTAATACAATTTTCCTTGTATGTCTGTTAAAATTTCTGGAGCTCCAAATTATTTAAAATAACCACATAACACATAGAACCTAGATATATATTTTTAAATACTTAGTGAAAACGTCTAGAAGTAAAAACATTCCTCTTTAGATGCTAAGAACTGACTTAAGTCTGTGTTCCTCTTGATTACAATCATAAAAATATGTTCCAGTAACTTCTCCATTTTTCCTTCTCACCAAGAGATTGAGAAAAAAGGAAAACAATAACCTGCCACAAAGCTCATGAAAAATCAAGTCTCATGGTACATGCACTACAGTCAGCAGCCTGACTCACAAGCCCACAATCTTATCCTCTCTAACACTGAAAGGAAGTTGAGGTACCCCATTATAGTCTAGCTGAAACACAAGTTCAGCTGCCAATCACCAGTTGCCCATAGCTGTGACTTTCTAAATCATCCCAATAGATTTGGTGGAGGAATGTTCAAGCTTAATGCAAAATTTGATGCAGATTCGTTGCTCTACTTGCTCAGTCATTCTGAATGCAATGGCCGCACAGTACACATGCTCACTCAATAGGCATCTACTGCCCACACTGACTAATATAGTGAAGTCGTCATTGTTCACACATGTGCATTCCAGTCCACTCTCCTTGGCTGCCAGGATACATCGATTTGCACAAATTGTTCTCATATTGACAATGACTGGACTTTTTCTGGATAGACCTCATACTCCCATGAATAGTCGAGTGAAAAGTAACAATAGTATAGGTTTACGGTATAAACATAGGTAGACATAGAAAATTATCAGCAAACTCAATAGCTGGCAATCTATTTAAAACTATTTCTAGCCTTGACTGGTGTGGCTCAGTGGATTGGGCATTGTCCCCTCAGACCAAACACCTGAGGGGTTTGATTCCCCCGGTTTGATTCCCAGTCAGGACATGTCTGGGTTTCAAAGTCAGGTCCCCAACTGGGGCACTCGAGAGGAAATTGAATAATGTTTCTCTTGCATGTTGATGTTCCTCTTCTTCTCTGTCTCCCTTTCTCTCTCTTTAAAAATAAAATCTTTAAAAACAAAAAAGTACTTTGTCAACTTTTTCCCTCTTCTTCAGTCATCAATACCTAGTCAATAAACAATGTCTAATTTTTGTTTGTATTCAGAAACAAGACAAACACCACTTTCAATATAAACAGAATCTTGCTTAGATTTTTGTTTGCTTATCTTTGAACTAACTTAAAGTTTTCAGTCTTGAAGAGGAACATTTACATGCTTCCATCACCAAGAACTCAGTATAACACAGTGCTACAGAATGTTTTCTTTCAAGCACAGCTGCTAACAATGGAAAATGCTTTGATAAACTGCAGTCATCTGACAACAAAATATACAGTTTGGGAAGACACAGAACTGTGATATACTTTTAAAGACATCAGGCAGTATATTCTTTTCATGGTTCAAATTAAACCAGAGCTTATCTGTCTCATTAATTTGATTCCTAAATTTCTATCTTAATTCTGTTTTACTACGATTGTCTTGTTGTAATACACAAGGGAAAGTAGCTTTGGAGGTTATAGGTTCATTATTTTTATGCTGGAACACAAAGCAATGAATGAATTCAAGTTAATCAAATACAGTGGAAATATCAACTAACATGCTATTAAAAATAGTCTTTTGGGTAACAGGCCTCTTAGGAATGAGTTATAGCTGTTACAGATTTGCCTTCCTCCCATGTCATCACAGCAAAGGTCACAACCACCCAAAAAGTCTTCAAGCACAGACTGTATGCCCCAAAACTACATACCTTGCATTATCAACCAGTTCAGCAAGAGCACCAAACAAGAATTCATGAGTGGTTCTGAAATGATAAACACTAAGAGTCAGCAAAAGTATTATGGGATTGAACTATGAATCCTAATAAAAAGTCAAGGCTATAAAATACTAAGTTTATAGGAAAAAAATCTAAAATCACCATTTGCATCAATTTACACAACTGAAACTTAAAGTTCTCCACCATTAGCTCATTAATCTCCCGTAAGTATTAGTCTATCAAGTCCCTATATCTACACAGAAATGTTTATTCTTGCTATGTTGAAAAACTTATTCCGAAGTGTTAAAATATTCCTACGTGTACTATCGCTAAAAAGCAGTGTTTTTACTACTCATATCCCGCCTAGAAAAAACGCCTGCAATTTATTTTTCATCGCCTTAACCAGCTGTTTCTACATATCTCTAAACACAGTCAATGGACAACTTGTTAGCAATCTGTTTTACTAGTATCTGTGTATGATCTACTGGTGAAAGAAGAAAATCTGTTCACTGCTTATATTTTTTTACAAGCAAAAATATCCCATTTGAAAGGGGGGAGATAGGAGAGAGAAATCCATTTCTTGACTTTCTTTTATTCTGGCTAAAAATAGAGCTTTTTCACACCTTAAAGGAATGCAAGACTCTCTTGAACAATTCCTCCTAGGAAGACAAGAGCATGATATGATATTGGGGATGCTGTTGAAGTTAACCACTTCAAAGAGAGAAGCTACTGGTCATCTCCTTGGAGAAGATGCTCAAAGTTTGGGTTGGGTAATTACCATGGTATTCGGAATTGAATAAAACTGGTATTTATACATAGTATTTATCCATACAATTCTCCCTGCATTGATATTCTCTTTAATTTCCCATAATAGTCTTCATTAGATATAAAAGTAGGATGTGTCCACCTAGAACCACCTAGAAACACTGACTTTGGATTAGGGAAAATACAAAATCATTAACACACATAATGCATTACCATCATCAAGTTTTTGAAAATAACCAAATTATTTTAGCTGATTTTCTTTTTGTATAAGAAATTTCACCCTGGCTGGTATAGCTCAGTGGATTGAGCGTGGGCTGCGAACCAAAGTGTTGCAGGTTCGATTCCCAGTCAGGGTGCATGCCTGGGTTGCAGGCCATGACCCCCAGCAACCCCACATTGATGTTTCTTTCTCCCTCACTTCCCTCTCTAAAAATAAATAAATAAAATCTTAAAAAGTTCCACCCAATAGATAATCTGAAATTTTCTAGAGATTAAAAATACTTATACCAATACTAAATAACCAGCATGCAGGATGTAAAATGTTTATAAATAAATACTCAAAACTAAACTGTCAGGAAATTTTCACAAATGCAAATTTTGAATTAAAACGAACAGTTCTGGGAATTTTAGGAAGAACTTTACCATGAAATCAGTGAATATATGTTGCTAATCCAAAGGTGACACCAATAAATAAGTTTTAACAAAAAGACAAATTTCTCTCCAATTCAACTAGAAAAAAGAGCTCAAAATGTTCTAACATCAAATTCTTATTTTACATGAAAAAAAAAAAATTTCTAAGAGAAAAACCCTGCATAAAACAGCCATAGATTTCATTACTAAAAATATTTAAGGCTCTAAGGCCCTGGCCAGGTAGCTAAGTTGGTAAGAGCATCATCCCAATATGCCAAGGCTATAGGTTTGATCCCTGCTCAGGGCACATACAAGAATCAACTAATAAATGCATAAATAAATGGAACAACAAATTGATGTTTCTTTCTCCCTCTCTCCCTTCTGTCTCTGTTTCTAAAAATTAATCAATAAAAAATTTAAAAATATTTAAACCTCTAGACTCTTATTAAATTCTTCAAATTATCAACTGAAATACAAATAAGTATTCTGTAGATTATTCCACTAAAAAACTAAGCTAGAAAATTAACATGATTTGTTTAAAGTAGCACTAAAAATAACATTGGCTCTCAAGCTTTCAACCAGTTATTTCCATGACTTATAACTGATTTAAACTTACAAATGGAATTAGTTTTTTAATGCCCTAAATTTTTAAAATTTCGAGCACTGTTATATAAAAATATAAATTGCTGCAATACTTATCTCAATAAGAATTAGCACTTTAACTTAAGTCAAGAAATCTCAGAAACATAGCTCCTGAAAAAACACAATGAAAATGAGACTACAACTTGTAAGCAGAAATTTCTGGATTAATAAATTACAGAATGAAGGATCTGGCCTTTGGTCGTGAGAGTGGCGAATATGAATAATCTAGAAAACTAATTCTGATAGTCTTTGCCATCAGAGCAAAGAAATAAAAAATAGGAATAGCAACTGCTTCTTAGGAATACATATTTCTGATCTTCATATAAAAAATGAGACATTTAGAATTCAATGGTAAGATCTCAAAAGAGAAAGTACAAACTATCTCTGGCTAAGTTTTCACTACTTCCTATACAATGTTCAGAAATGTGCCTTGTACTTTTAAAATTAGAAATACACATTCCAAATAGTTTTCCTTGTTCCACACAGTGTCAATGCTATTCCACACTTACATATTTCAGATAAATTAACAGGTATCTTTAAAATCTAACTAAGGGGGCCCTGGCCAATGTGGCTCAGTTCGTTGGAGCAGCATCCAGTAAACTAAAAAGGTCACAGGTTAGACCCAGTCAGTGCAAATGCCTAGGTGGTGGTTCAGTCCCCAGATCGGGTGGGTGTGAGAAGCAGCCTATCCATGTTTCCCTCTCACATTGATGTTTCTCTCCTCCTCTCTTTTCCCTCCCTTCCCGTAGGTAGGTAGGTAGGTAGGTAGGTAGGTAGGAAGGAAGGAAGGAAGGAAGGAAACACAGCTATAACTAAAGGGTATTTTTGTGATGTGTACTGATACATCATAAAAGGGGACTGTTGTGACAACTGTTGATGAGGTCAGAAACAACACAAAATCTTCTTCAATCCTCCAACCAATTAAGGATAGATCCTACTAACAAATGTTAAAGCTGGAATTTTTTAAGATTTTATTTATTTTTAGAGAGGGAAGGGAGGGAGATAGAGAGAGAGAGAAACGTCAATGTGGGGTTGCTGGGGGTCATGGCCTGCAACCCAGGCATATACCCTGACTGGGAATCGAACCTGCGACACTTTCGCAGCCCACGCTCAATCCACTGAGCTATGCCAGCCAGGTAAAGCCAGAATTCTAAATACCTCTTAAAATGGTTAAGAACCAGAAATGTACCAACTGCACAAGTTCTCCCCTTTTTTCAAATAATATTCAAAGAGATGCACTCATTTCTAGTATCTGAGATACAAATATCTGAATAACTATCAAAGGAAATTCTTCATAGACCCAATAACTCCTTGTTTGTGACCCAAGAAAGATCTACCATGTGGAAAAACAAATATTTTAACAAACTCTACTTTGAACTGATCAAGGCTTTTACACCGTTTGTGCTGGACAAAAAAAAAAAAAAAAAGTATTTCAGCTCAGCATTTCCAGTGACAAATTCACATGTAAATATATTTATTATTAAGGAAACGGTCTCCCAATTCATATTCAGCCTGAATTTAAACCAGCTGAGCTCTTGGATATGTTGACAATAGTTAACTGCCCTAATCGATAGAAAATAAAGCTGAGAAATTCTAAAGCAACCATTTACATTTCATATTGTTTTAATATAATTAGAGTTAAGAATCCACATTTCAACAGAATTGTCATAAGAAAGAATATATCTAGAGTTAACAGATTCCTCCATATTCACTTTATGGATAAAACAAACCAAAAATATTAATAGCCAAGATAAAAATTATTAAATATGCCAACAGGAACAGACATAGAAAGCAGACATGTTATACTTAAGCATCCTGCTCTATCATACCACTTAGCATTACTGCAAAGAGTGACTTAAGATACGTATCTTATGCCAAAGGAACATTACCACCAGCACTACACCTATATTGTTCATGAACTTTTTACTATCAGCCACAAAACCCATCACCAAAAAGCAGTAACAGCATAAAACTCCTTTTATCTAAAAACTTGAGCCCTGGCCAGTGTGGCTCAATGGATTGAGCACTGGACTGCAAAGGAAAGGGTCACCAGTTCGATTCCCAGTCAAGGCACATGCCTGGGTTGCAGGCCAGGTCCCCAGTGTGGGGCAAGCAAGAGGCAACCACACATTGCTGTTTCTCTCCCTCCTTCTCCCTCCCTTCCCCTCTCTCTAAAAATAAATAAATAAAATCTTAAAAGTAAAAAAATTCTAGAATATCCAGTATTAAAAAAAATTATCCTAAGACTTCCATGTTATCCTGAGAATTTCCTATACCTGCTTTAAACCTTAATGCTAATGGGAACCAAGAGAGAATAACCGTCAGCAGTTAGCACTGGAATATAAAAAGATGTTCACTGTCTCTAACAGATGGGCCAGAATCTACTAGGAATTTATCTGCCTAATGACTAGCACCAAAGAGCACATTGCTACCATGCTTCCACCAACTTTTGGTTTATGTAAGTTAATATTATAAACAATAATCACCACCATCTATTAATGTTTACTATGTACTATTTAAGAGTTAATTACTTTATAAACGGTATTTTACATAGTACTCAGAAACACAGTCAAATTAGTCCCATTTTATAGATGAAGAAACTGAGGCTCAGAGAAGTTGACCTCTGCTCAAGGACACAGCCAAAAAGCAATCAAATCATAGCTTGGCATGCTCCCAAGCCCATGATCTTTCCACTGCATCACATTGACTTCCACCCTTTCCAGGCTGTTTACAACTCTCCATTACCTAGAAGGTAAGGAAAAGGTCATTTCTTTCATAATTAACAACATGGCGTATATTGCAGATGCCAGACACCCTTAAGTGATCTTCTTTTTAACATAACAGAACAAACAAGGTATTGTAAGAACAATTTCACCTTCTCTGAAGTTGAGATTGCACCACTTATTACAGAGGATATATATCTAACATCATTAAGAGCAGTACCAAGTCACATCTTAAAAAAATTTAAGGCCCTGGTCTGCTACTCAGTTGATTACAGCATCATCCTGATACGTGGTTTTGGGTTTGACCACCCCCCCCAGGACACATTCAAGAAATAACATTTGAATGCGTAGTGGGACAACAAATCAATGTTTCTCTCGCGCTCACTTTTCCTCTCTCTACAATCAAACAATAAAAGAGAAAGAAAGGAAATTTAAAATTGTGTTTCCTCTAGAACTGAGCTTCCAGTCAGGTCACCATATTAAAGAAATCTCTAAATTAGTTATAAACCAGGAACTTTATTTTGTCATTCTAGGGTTCATATTCTCTTCTGGCACAACTGGGGATATTTAAAAGTAGACTAATTCAATGGCATAACCCAAATATTACAGAGCTTCCAAAATGCTACAACCAACCCTCAAATTTCTATGCAAGCAGGTGATTCCAATTCAACATTGGTAAAGAAAATTCTCCATTATCACTTCAAAGAAGTGATTTACCTGAGGCTCAATTCTTCAATTTGGCTGTGTCCACCTAATGTTAATAAGCTATAAAATAGAACAAGCAGAAAGAAATATGCCAGAATCCTCAACTTAGAGGCTTGCTAAGATCAAATTGAAGACTTTTAAAGTGAGAAGTAGCCCTGGCCAGAGAGCTCATTTGATTAAGGCATCATCCCACCACAACCCAAGGTTGCAGGTTCGATACCTGGTTGGGGCACATGCAGGTATCAACCAATGAATGCATGGAAGAGTGGAACAAATTGATGTTTCTCCCCCCTTCTCTCCCTAAAATCAATTAAAAAAAAATAAACCAGTAAGTAAACCCTTCTCTGTACAGACAAGGAAAGAAGTCCTTAAAGATAAAGCTGGGCCTCAGTTTCTTCAATACAAAGTTGGAATAATTCCAGTAGTGTTGCTATAAAGACAACTTTCAGCCATGTTTAAAACAGTAACTAGCATGATCAATTAGTTACTACTATTTTATAATCAAATGGTCTTTAGGGAAGCTGAAACAAGAATCCAGTTTCTAAAGTCCTGTTCATGTTCTTCCAAGATTATTAAATAGTCTACCATTCCAAATTTGGCTTCTCATTCCAAAGCACAATCATCTGTGAATATATAGTGGTTTCAACTGCTGATTTTTTTTTAACTGCTGATTCTTAATATGACAGTTCAAACATAAAGAAGGAAAACAAAGGTTTTGCCCAAGGCTGTATTATAAACTAGTCAGTAACCTTACCTAACTGGATTTCAGATTCACCGTCCACAGCACAAGAATTTGCCTAGGTAAACTCTACAGCACCTATCCTAAAAGACACTAGTTCAATAATAAGCTTCCTACACAAAGCAAAATAAAACCAGGCTCTCGTAATTTGGAAATTCACTTCAGTTAAGAGAAATTTTATTTCCTTGATAGGAAAAATAGCAAACAAAAAGTTACAGATGTGATCACAGAAACTCTGAAAAATTAAGGGTTTTGGTTTTGTTTCTAAGTCCTTTCCCGTGAAAGGATAAAAATTACTAAACTATTGTTGAATAACTGAAGTTCACATTCTCAGCCCTGAAGGTGATTCTTCAGATGTCTGGGCCATCATTTAGCTGCTCGTCACCTCTCTATATCCTAAAATGTTAGGCTACTTACCTTGATCTCAAAAGTGACAAATGTATGTATTAAAACACTAAGTAGTTACAACTCCAATCAATTACTTCCATGAGTGAGCGTAAGGGTTAACCCCAAAACACTGCAGACCAATGTAGTGATGGTAATCTCTTCATGAACTAAAGAACGACAAACACTCTACGTGTTCTGAGATTTGCACACGTTTTGGGAATGGCTATTTAAATCATGGTTTTAAACAAGATGCCACTTCCTGCTTAGCATATTAAAACTATGTTGGATGTGGAGACGAATTTCCCAGAAATATAAAGCCATCTGTTTGCTGGGGGAAAAAATTTTTTTCTTCTAATAAGTTGTCATTTCAATATCTTCGTTCACTTTTTTCCTTGTTAGAAAGAATAAAACTTGTTATAACCAAACTGTTTTGGCTGTTGTCACTAAAAAAAATATACTAGGATAGTCCAACTTTTGATGATCCAAAGAACAGTCCTTATTGGATTCCTAACAAATGCTTGAGAAAGAAGTTGATATAGTAACTCAAAAAACTAGTTTGCATTTGATCAAATAAATTCTGATCCAATAAATGGTCGTATTCTTCTGGATTAGCAAGAAATATTTCACTGATTTCAGTTCATCCAGCGATATATCCCCAAAAGTGAAAAAGCAAACTTTTGAGATTTCCACACTAATATCAAGAAAGGACTTATCGGTGACTATAGTGGCATCTATAGATACTTACGAATTTGTGTGCAGATATTCAAAGGTTAGCTGAGCTCGATTCAAACTGCTGTAATTCGTGAAAGCCATAAGTGCAGTGAGGTCCAGTCCTTTACCAACTGGGAAATACAACCTTGTAACGAAATAGATTTTCCAGGATTCTTCCCAGAAAGATTTGGTAATTGAGTCTGGCTCCTTACAATTAAACAAGATTACTGAGTACCTATCTAAAATATATTCAGAGATGTCTAAAACTACAATTGATTTCTCCTGGAAGTTTTTATCTTCTCAGACTTTGATGTAGTATCGTGAATAGAACTATGTCAATAAATCTGCGGTCTCAAGGAGCTTTGGCGTTAAGTTGTGATTGTTCAACGAATCGAAACGTGGATGATCTTGAAAGTAGATGGTACGGAGTTGGCGGTTTTATTACTGCTCCATCTTCATTTTCTTCGAGCCCTTTTTCGTTCTTCTAGGAAATTCAGCAATCCGGAAACTTACCAATCCGGAAATTTATCAACTTCTGTTATAAGAGTGGTCAATCACCCATGTCTTCGCCATCAATGATCCCAGGATCTTTAAAGAGACACCAGACTGGCGACCGCGATGTGGAGTATATATGGCGATACTTCCGGCTTTACCAGCTCCCAACTGAAAGATCTCTTAACCGCTGATGGCGGATTCCCGTTTTCAGAGCCCCGCCCCAGTCTCCCCAGGCTCGTGGGTCAAATTACCTCACAAAGGCCCACTAAAAGGCCTCAGAATTAACCCACCCGAATTACCTCAAGTGGGCCGCGCGCCCCTCCCCCACTCTCCTCAGACCTCAGCCTCAGGCCTTTTCCGGGCCTCTCCTCTGGAAAAGGAGTCAAGCCCAGTTTTCAAAGCCCAGATCGAAGGCAATGGAGAGCGCACTACCCAACCGGGCGTTGCCCAGCGATCACGGCTGCCTTTTTCCCTCCCCACGGAACTGGAACCCTACAACCGCAGCGCGTTCTTGGAACCATGTGCTGCCGCCTCCGCCTCCGTTGCCTCCGCCGCCGCCGCCGTCACGACACAAGCCGCCCGTGCGCCGTGATGAATGAGATGATGACAGGACTGAGCACCACGAAATTGGGCTTTTTGGGCAGCTTCGCAGCCGCTTCCGCGGCCACCTCACCCTCCGCTTTGTCTCGGCTAGTGCACACGAAACGGGATGCCTCGCGCACTCCCCGACGCCCCAAACCCCCGAGGCCTCCGCGGCGCATTCAGCCAATCAGAGAGCTAGAGCTCCTCCCACCTCCGCCCTAAAACGACGCCCTCTGATTGGTTGACAGTGTGTCTCCACGTGACCGGATCTTGTTAGCTGGGTCCACCCCTATCACGTGAGAGAACGCGCCTCTCTTCCTGCTTTCCTGACCCTCTCCGCCATTTAAAGAAACAGTACCGGGGGCGGGTCGAGCGACGCAGCCGGGACGGTAGCTGCAGAGCGGACCGGAGGAGCCATCTTGTCTCGTCGCCGGGGAGTCAGGCCCCTAATTCGAAGAAGCCCTGGCGCGCCCTCCCCCCCTCCCCGGTCTGGTAGGGCGAAGGAGCGGGCGCGCGGTCGATCGAGCGATCGGTTGGCGGCTCTTTCTCCTGCTCTGGCATCCAGCTCTTGGGGCGCAGGCCCGGCCGCCGCGGCGCGCGCCCGGTGGCCGTTGGCGCTCGCGCCGTGTCTTTCTTCTCGTACGCAGAACTCGGGCGGCGGCCTATGCGTTTGCGATTCGAAGAGGAGTCGTCCGGGTGGTCGGCGGTGGCGGGCAGTTGCTCCGCCCCGCTCCCGGGGAGGCGGCGGCGGGATTTGGCGCGTCTGGGGAAGCGGGGGTGGCCGGGGCGGGCCTGGAGGCCTGGCGCCACCCTTCGGGGCCTGCAAGGACCCAGTTGGAGGCACAGGAAGGTGCTGGGGGATGGTTGGTGGTGGGCTTTCTACTTTGCCTTTTCCTCCTTATGCCGCCTTAGTGAGAGGCGGGAGCTCTGGCGGCAGCTCGGGGGTGGGAGACAAGCTCCGGAGTCGGAAGAACTGGGTTTGCTTCCGGGCCTAGCCACCAGCTGGCCGAGTGACCTTAGGCAAGTCACTCTGTAATATGTCTGCGCCTCAGTTTCCTCCTCTGCCTATCGATGTTTGTGGAATTAAAATCGCTTTATAAACTATAAAGCGTCAGTGTACGTAAGGGATAATTATCGTTTGTCAATTTTTTTGAGTTGTAAGAAAACAGCAATTGCCCAATCCATGGATTTTGAACCTGGGAACCTTGGATTGGAGTTGGAGATCCCCAAACTCCCTGAAATTGTATGCAGAAATTAGTGGGACTGTGCATTTTAAGGGAACGAGGATCCATCTCCAACAAGTTTTCAAAGGGAGGTATCACCCCTGAAGAGTTAAGAACCACAATTTGTTTATGCCATAGGGAGGAAACTGAGGCCTAGATGTCATTTGGGATCCTTCACAACCAATTCGAAGCCCCTGTTTGAATCCCTGGGATATGTGAGCTTTTTTGTGCATAATGGGTATTCGGGGTAACAACACTCCACTGCTTGGCTTCTTTTCTGAGTCTTTTCTTTCCTCATAGGGTGCCTGAAGGTGGCTAATGCATATGGTACTGTGGCACCCATTATAAAGCAGCGGAAAATAAGAGTGGACATGTTCTCTAGTGTCAAGAGGCATATTTAATCTTTGGCCCATTAACTGTTTGTTGCTGCTTATACTGGTGCCTGACTGCCTTTCTGACTCTTTCACTGACCATTTTCACGACCATGTTTGTCATCTGTTACTTGCTCCTATTTTATATCCCTAGTCTATGTGGTTGGTGATGAGCAGGTTTCTTTTTAAATGGTGCTGCCAAGTCTAGCTAATTAATGGTGCAGGTGGATTTTTAGCAATCTGGCTCACTGGAACAGACTGAATGAACCAGCCATGGAATTCCCAAAGATGTTGGGGGTTATCTTTATTAATTGAAGGTTAACATTTGCTGAAAAGTTTTGTTGGAACCTCTGCTGAACCTCACAATCAGTGGATTTGGAAGTGTTTCAAAGCTTAACATTTTCCTGGACTGCTTTGTATTCTATTTGCTTGCAAGTGTGTTACTACAGTGGCCAAAATGCCAGTTTTTTGCTTCTTTGTTAATTGTCAGCTGCTTTTATCTAATTCCAGGCTATTGCCCAGCAAACACTATAGAAATGTTTGAACAGTTGGATTTCAGACATTTTGTTTTGTGGAGTGGTACAGCTCTAAGCAAGTGAACACACAAGTTTAAGTGTATTTTGTCTGGTTAGGTGTTACCTGGTTCTGCTATTGCATACAAATATCTGGAAAAAGTCAATTGACTGTACCCTTTACCTAAAGGGCAGAGACAAATGATCTCACTGCCAGAGAAATAACTTTTTTGGAGAAAAATGTATTGGCCTTTTAGGTTTTTTGTAATAAAATCTGGATGTACTACAAAAGAATCACAAGACTGTGGTGATAAGATGCTTTTCTTGGCAGAAGGGGGAAAAAAACAACTGGAACTCTAAGCTTGAAATTCTGTGACAAAATGTGAGATGTCCAGGATAGAAGGTTGAAAGTGTTTCACTACAGTATTCTGCACTAGCTGGAGCAGATGTCTTTCAGTGTAGCCACGCATGGGCTCCAGATTTGCAAGATGGGGACCTGCAGGAGCTTATGAGGATGTGACAAGAACTCTGAAGTTGGATGCTTTTATTTTTGAATTTTGGGACTATTGACCTCACTTTCAGAAGAGAGACTGACTAAACAAACAATGCCACCAGCACTGTTACGGGGAATTCGAAGTCCTGAGTTTCTGCCAGATCCTCAGTTGCAAACTGGTGACGCTGCATCCAAAGCGAACTACGGTACTTGCAGTTTTCCAAAATGAATCATTCTTTACCATCTCCACACTTTTGTTCATACTCTCTTCTCTACCCTAAAATGTCCTCCTCCAGTTCTTCACCTGCCAAAACTCTGCCATTTTTTCAATATCCACCTCAGATGCTCTCTTGTCCATCTGTCTCTTAACTTTAGCCAGAAATAATCTTGTAAAATTTTTGTTACATATCTTTTATGTTTGTATATAATACCCTGTTAAAGTTATTTGCATGCTTTTTTTTTCCTTTGTTCTCTTGCAGACAGCAAACCCCTTGAGGAAAAAGGGATCTTAACGAATCTTTACCCACACATACTACCACATATGATGAAGCTTTTAATAGAACGGAGCAATTTAGAAAGCAGGCTATCTCTGAATAAGCATTCAGTAAGTGCTTGCTTAATCATTGCGTTGATAAACTGGTTACTCTTGATTAGGGGAAAAAATCACCAGTTATGGGCCATGTTTCCTTTGTGTCATGTTTTTATTATTTTTTAAATTTTGAATTTAAAAATATTTCAGGAGCCCTCAAAGAAAGAAACTGAAAAATTGTATAGATTATTACAGAAGGGTCCACAGACTAGGCTTATTGCCTAGGTATTTTATTCTCCCCCATTCAAGATGGAATCTTGTTAAAATGAAGGTTAAGAGTAGCTTTTTTTCATAAGACGATTCAAGAGAGGCATGATAAAAGGAAGGAGGGCAATATCTCATTTACCTTGGTGTTATATAAACTTAAATTCCATTTTTGTGCCTTTTGCAAAGCCCTTCTTCCCCACCAACCACTACCCAGCAGCCTGAATGCAATCGAGTTACTCCCCCAAAGTAGGAGACTTAGAGCAGTTTCAGAGACAGTTTATTTTCAAGAGTCAGGCAATAGTCTTTTCCAGAGAACTCTTTATGTTCTTATCATCACTGATTTTAAGGCTTCTTTTTTCCCTTTAGCATTGTCAGCTTCTTGGTTAGGCTTTTCAATAATTAGTACCCCTCAGGCAGCTAATGTGCTAACAGTAGGCCCATCCCAGTGTTAGAGTCTTGTGTTGATAATGCCATGCATTTGTTACCAGTTTTGTCCCTGAACCTTCTCACTATCTTCCTTGTACTGTTCCATCAGCCTACAGATTTGGTACCTGGATTTTTGCCCATGGTGATTCCTATTATCTTACTACTGAAGAAGACACCATTCCAGTGGACCACTGTGACCCCAGGAGCATTCAGCCATCATGATGTGGCCTTCACCTACTTGTGTCCTATTCTGCCCAGATTGAGCACCACCCTTTATGTGATGAAGCCAAATAGCTGAAGCTGTTTAATCACAACAAAGGCCCATAAGTGTGTATTTTGTTTCTTCAGTTCAAACCTTCAGAGACACATAATACATTTGGAACAGGGGATTTTTAGTTTTCAACACTGTCTAAAGAATGGCAACATCTTGAGAACAACATTGGACCACATCCCACAGTCTCAAATGTTTGAAGTATATGAAGCGTCAAGAATCCCATCCATGTCACTGGACACTGTTCTTTTCCACTTCAGATCTGTAGTATCCTACTGAAAGAGAAAGCAGATATTCTGACTTACTGGAATTAAAACAAAGGCACAATGAAGGTCTCATAGCATCTTCTTTGGGATTACTCAGGAACCAGAACTTCTCACACAAATGTAAGAAATTTTACAAAGGAATCCTTTACCTAACAGCATCTCACAAGGCTTCAATCAGATTCCAGAAAAGGCCTCTTGAGACATCCAGGTAGAACCTATATGGTAAACCCTTATGTTTATATCGCACTTTACAGTTTCAAAGCACTTTTACATGTATTAATATCAATTATCAAAATCACACAATAAATTATAATCCCTTTCTGCAAATCAGGAAATGGGATTTGAAAGGTTGTCCAAGGTGACATAGCTACCATGTGGTAGAAGCCAAGCCTTCTGACTCCCAGTCCAGTTCTCTCCTTGGAATTAAGTTAGCCTCTACTTAACCCACAGGGTTAAAATGACTGCAGGTTAAGAATCCCAGAAAAGTTTTCCAGCCTCCTTATCAGGTACCCTCAACCAGGATGTCATAAACTGTACCTAGACCAGAATTCTATGAAAATACCCCTAAGGCTTAGGAGCAGGCTGTCTTCCATGATGATAGATTATCCAGTCAACAAGACACATCTTCATCTGATAGCAACACTGCCCAACATGAAACACAAAGCTACTTAGAGATCTTTTGTCCATCTTTGTGGTCTTCCCAAAGAGACACTAATTGATTGGGGATCCCTTCTTTGTTGGTTTTTAAGTCTTGGACTCTAGGACACCCAAGATCTTAGCTATTGTTTTTTATCCCCAAACAAATATTTACACAAAATGAGCCATCCATTTAGAGCAATGCTGTGTATGCATGTGTGTTTATATGGGTGACATGTCCATATTACATGTCATACATGGTTTCTGTAGTCCAGTAAGGTGGTAAAAATACTGCAAATTGTCCTTTCCCTGATTGGTAATACAATATAGTGTATTAGAAGATCACAGAGGGCTTAGCAAAAATCTCATTTAACTGTTAAACCTAGTTCTAAGTTAATCAAGCAGAGGATGTTATTTTGTAGCATTTTAATGAAATGAGGCAACTGCCTTAAGACGGCATAGCCAGTGCTTCCTGAATGCCAATGAACCCCAGGAATAAACTACCATCTTTGAAACCTCCCCCCTCTTTTTTTTATCAATAACTGCTTTGAATTAGTACATGTCCATGATTTGAGAGTCCTTTATCTTGACCATTACCTTGATTTTTCTGTCAAGGGAATCTCTAGAAGATTTGTGGGAATATGAGTGGCGGGAGGTTAGGGGAAAGTTAATTCATCTGAATTTGGATGGGTTCTACAACATTTGGCCATGTACTTCTCTGTCCCTAAAATTGTATTGTAAACCTAGTTCAAGGGCATTGCATCTCAGGTGGGTGAGAAGATTGGAAAGGGGGAAAATGGGGAGGAGGGGTGAAAAGTAGATATTTTCTTAGAATTTCTGAGTTGTGGCCCACTGAGATCTTATCAGTACTTGAAGAGAGGTCATCCAGCCATGCAATTCTTAGAATAATATTTACAAAGGAATGAATGTATTTTGCAGCTGTATGCTGACTGCAAAAACCCCAGTGCTGTTGTCACTTAAAACCAATAGTGTTGTTCTCTGAGCATAGTCACAAGCCTAGTTTCAGGCAATGAGAATTTATAGCAGATTTGAATGTTAATTTCTTAATTCTATAAATGTAGCCCACCTTAGGGGAAGAGTGAACAGGAAACATCTTTGCTTACTATAGGCTTTGCTTACAGTTTGGTTTCTATGACATTTTTTGTATTTCAGCATTTTGTGAACAACTTATTCTTAGATCATTGGTTTTCCAAAGGCTTTGTGGCCATGAAGCCCTTTGAATGAAAACTATGCGGAAACCTAAAGTAAAAGTGAAGCTGCTCTGGATGAAGCAGGAGTAGGGGGCCTGAAACCTGCTACAAGCATCTTCCTTTACTACCATGGTGACACCTAAGGACTTCTTTACAACACCTAGAATTCTTCAGAACACATTTGAAAAACACTGCCCTAAACAACAATACGTTTGACCTGAATGGTATTCTGATCTGTACCTCTACTCAGTACAGTCCATGTTCAGGTGGTACAGAACATTCTTAGGAATACTTCTGTGGGCAAACTCAAAAAAGTCTAAGAAGATCAGTATGTCTTTGTCCAGCCCCACCCCCCCAAGAAGTTATATGGGCTAAAAGTGGTTATCAACTGGACCTAAAATTACAGCCCTCTACCCCCGATGGACTTCCAGTGATTGCTGGGTTTGGATATAGACTGAGTGATTCATACGTACTTAACACTGACAAAAACCCCCTTGCCCAACATCTTTCACAAATACCAGATGCTCTAGTGGTACTTGAAATGTGAGTTTGAAGTCTTGATTCTCCTTGAATACCTGAATTGCCAGGTGTTGAAGCTGATGCCTCATTGAGGCTGTAGTAGACCAACTTGTACATGTGGACCTCCCATCATCAGCTGTGGTACTCTATTTCATATGCAAGTGATAACCATTAACTATGAAGCAAAATTCAAATATTGGCAACATTAACTAAAAGGGTACCTGTTTTTTTTGTTTTTTTTTTTTCCATTCATCTTACTCTCAGACTACAAGTTACTATGACTCAACCATTGGTGGTGTTACTCCTATTTGGTTTTTATTCATTTCAACTTCTGTTTCTGGGATAAATGAGCTAATAACCTTTAAAAAGCTAAAACAATTCCTCCATCAGTATATCTGCCTGGTATATTCTGCTCTAAAATTATGAATACTGATCTCTAACTACATGTAAGACCTGATCTACAAGAGACAGTCTTTGAACATCTTTTCTCATGTATGTGATTTAAAATGTGACCATTTGGAACATTTTTTATACCACTGAGCATTTTTCCTTAAGGTGGGTCCTATGATGTCTGGTACCATCAGCTGTAGGTATTAAGGATATTTTGAGGTAGGCCTTTTGACTAGGCTGTGGTAGCTTACTTGCTGGGACTTTCAAGTTGGTGTATCATCTTTTTTTTTTCCCTTCCTGGATATGTAGACATGAAAAACATCTACAAAGCCTACCGCTAAGGATTTTATCAGGAGACTCAAGCTTCCTGCTGCTGCTTCCTAATGCCACAAGACCACAGTCCCTCATTGTGGATATGTGCATGGAATTTTAGCTGTCTCGATACTGTTTTACACTGATTCAGAGTGGCCAACTTATTCCTTGCCATGAGATGCTCTCAGGCATTGAAACAACTTACCTGTTTTTGCAGGAAGGATTCAGCTTATAAACTTCCAGACCAGATCATGTTGAACAACTAGACTTTGATTTATATCATGAGAAAAGTCTCATTTACTTCACAGTTGACTTAAGAGCCAGCTGTCCTCAACTACTTTCATGAATGCACTGGTTAAATGTTGGGAATGGTTTCTTTATATCTCTCTTATCCACTAGACTAATTATGATTACATGACTTGGTCTGCAGATCGTCTAAGTGGCCTAAGTCTGGTTACTCTAGACTGCTCACCATCAACAAATAAAAATAAAAGATGACTATCCTGCTTGTATATACAACTATTATTTGTGAAGAAAAATTATCTACAAACTCAGTTTTCTTACTACCTTCAAAATATCGGCTGGATTTTTTTTCACCTGTACAGAAAAAGACATCTATACTGCCATTCATTCCCTTTAATCCTGTCCCACTCAGTCAAAATGAGGGGCTTAAAGTGAAGATGACCACCTTTCAAGAGTCTAGTTGAATACCGTGTGTCAGAATTGATGGATGAAAAAGCCTAAAAATCAAGCCTAGGAACTTACCTACTAATCTCCATGCCTCAAATCTCATCTAAGTCTGTCCAGCAGCACCATTCAACCAGTTTGAGGCCTTGACTTGCTTTTAATTCCCAGAGATGTGCTGAATCATAGAAGATGGAGACTTGATTACCAAAGAAAGTAGGGCCAACTTTGACAAACCCTATTACTCACAAGTGTAGCATAAACACCTAAACAGAACCTCACTTGGACTGAGAATATAGCCTTCTCCTGAGCTGAACATTCTTGGACAAATGAGCAGGAAAATGAAAGCTGCTGTACCTAACTGGCTATTTAAGGTCAGAAAATTGTATCCAGAGTAAACGCTATAGATTAACCCTGGAGTGCTCAGGGTAAAAACTAATTTTCAGAGCTTTGGTATTAAACTCTGTGTTCTTCCATATTATATCCTGGTTATTGGTATGGCTGGCCCTGCTGAAGGTACCCTACTTACCTATTTATCTTAGCCCCTGCCTGCCTTTGTTGACATGTTTGTGTAATCAGACTTGCTGTCCTCAAGATGATTACAACTGATCTCAGCCTATTTTATACCCAGTTCCACCAAGATTTTTTAACAGAAGCAACCTGTACCTCACCCCACCAGGACTTTAATGTTCTCAACAGGAAGGACCATGCTGTATACTCTTTGACCAGCAGCAACCTTTTTTAGTGCAGAAGAAGCCTCTAAGCATGTATATATTCGATCATTTTCAGCACCTGGGACCCCTTCTATCAGATCTGAAGGAGTACAGCAGATCAAAAGCAGTCAGTTTCTCTCTTCTGCAGTAATATAGAAGTGAGTCTGATTCACCAGTTCAGAAATGAGAAATGTTCAACTTGGCAAAAGACTTGAACACAAGAAAACTTTACACGAACTTAAAATTTACCATTGACTTGAAAACCCTCACATACTATTTGCCATTGGGAGACTAGTTGTCTTGCATTATGTCAACTTGATAGTTGGGCTCTCCGACTCATGTTACTTACATTGAAACTATTGAATCATCCAGAGTATGTTACTGGACATGATTATTCCATTCCAATAAGTTTCCTGAGTACAGTATATAATCCCCATGATGGTTTTGTTTTTGTTTTAATGCTTTTATTAAGAAAGTAACAGTGCCAGCTGTTATCATTCAACTTTATGAGCAAAGATTAAACTTTTAGAATATCCGGTCTTATCACTGATACTATTTTTAATTGACCAGCAATTCATTCCATCTCTTTGTAACAACTCCCTGATGTTTCTTGGAACCATATCTATTTTCAGTCTGCATAGTTCAGACAGTCTGATCTAACCTTAAGTTTCATGTTGGACACATAGTTCATACCTGATCAGTCAACAATCATCTCCTTCACCATAGTGATTGATTCAGGAATGGTCATGTGATTCAAGTTGATCCAGTGATACTCAACCCTAGGAGTTTTACTGAACTATGGAAGAAGAAAAGCTCAGAAACTCAATTTACTGAGGTTGCTTAACTTTGTAGGATGAAAAAAACCTCAGACCACCAGGAGTCCACCATATCAAATGAGCCAGTCAGAAAATGAAGCCAGTGCAGAGGAAAGCGGAGCCAAATGATGGAGACTTGAGTCCTGATGACAATGTTTGTGCTCCTGGATCCACCCGTGCCTGAAGCTAGTATATCCTCTGGATTTTTTCAGTTTTGTGAACCAATAAATACTCTTTTGTTTAAGTTACTTTGAGTTGGGTCTCTATTGCTTGAAATTGAGTCTTAATATACTATACCAGTATTGAAGCCTGACAGGTCCAAATATTTATTAAACTATAGGTCATGGCCACACTGAAAATATTAAGAAAAATCACGTCTTTTAAAATGAGTAAGGTACACTCAATTGTGTATGGACATGGGAAAATGGCCATGTTATGTTAAGTGAATGAAACAAGCTATTGATAAAGAAATATATAGAATGGACTAATTTTAAAATTTGTGTTTATGATTATGTAGAAAAGCCTATTAATGGCTTTCTTTGAATAGCACAGATTATGAGATTTTGAACTTGATACATTTCTGTATTGGACTGTTTTCCATAACTCACAGTACGCATAAACTTTATTTAAAAGTAAAGAATCATTAATTTTACTGCTCACTGTTTGGCCTTGGCAAGTTACTTAACACTGAGCCTGTTTCATCAAATAATTTTAAATGCCCACCTTTACCTTAGTGATATTTTGATAAAAGATGCTCATCATCCATTACTCAAAGTGACAGATTGCTGTACCTTTACTTGTTTGAGAAACTCAGCTCAGTAGTTGTCCCTGAATTTTTCAAGTATACTTTAAATGTTCAGGCATATTCAAATTACCAGATTTTTATGGTTTTAGTCACCAAAAGATTGTTTTAATTCTCAACTAATGTTAATTTATGAAGACCTCTTGCATTTTTTACACTAGGCAGAAAGAGAAAAGTCACATTTTCTTTGAAATATGAGTGTTCTGGTCTTACTGCAATCAAGGTCCAAAATAACTTTTCTCTTTTTTTGCTAAGTTCATTGCATACACATTAAACTCTCAGCAGCACATACAACTCCCACCAGCATCTTGACATCTTTAGGTGCAAAGGCTCTTCCCATCATTAAAAGAATGATGTAGTAGACATCCCTTTACTTTGGCCTCCCCAAAATCATTTTCCCTTTTAGTGATGGATCCCCACTTTGCCTTTGGACCACTATTTCCCATTCTGTGGTATTAGTGAAACTAAATTACAGTATTTTGACGTCTTAGCTAACACTGGATGTGTGCTCCAAGCTTGTCCAATCAAAACTCCCCATCTGCTAGGATTTTGAGTCTTAAGACAGGTGACAGACAAAAGTATCGGACCTGAGTCATTCTGATGGAAAGCATTTAAGAGTGGGTGCAAGGACATCCCCACAGGTGCCCTGATTCCTACTATCAGGCCTGGTTATCCAGATTTGCCTTTGTGTAGACTACCATATATCCTTATAATGTTCCTTTTTTTTTTTTCTTTCTTTTTTTTGGGGGTGGGGGCAATAAGCCAAAGAGGATTTCTGTTGCTTACAACCAGATGACTGAATGATTGTTGAGGTTAATAACAGTTAAGTAGTAGTATTTAGACCTTTAGGAACATAGACAGTCTGAAAGTGATTATTATACTGAGATTGAATTAAAGGCAATAACTCAAGCTCTATGTCCCTGGGGGGCGGGCGGGGGGGGGGGGGGGACACAGCAGTGGCAGTGAAGAGTTTAATAGTAGCAAAAAGCAAGTAAAGGTACCTCCCCTTGATATCTGGAATTGTGTGCCTGTTGCAGGCAAGATTTGGATAACTATTTAGCTGTTAACAATAGGACCATTGGAAGTGAATAAGAAAGGCCAAAACTGTTGAGTTAGGATGGTTAGTTACTTTGGGTTACATTGGACAATTTAAAGTAAGACAACAAGCTCTAACCCAGACACTTACCTGCAGTCATGGGGCGGGGGAGGAGCAAAGGCCTTCCTGGATCCAGGATGAATGAATCTCTTTGTGTTTAATTCCAAAACTGCAACTCAAGAATTTAATTCCACAAATTGCAAAAATCACAATGCTGATGGAATTTGCAGAGGCATTAATCAGAAAAGAGGCTTGTGGAATTCTGGTATCTGGGAGCATTCAAAGGACTTGGAAAATACCAATCCCTGCATATCTCAGGAATAAAAGTTGGGGTCTTACTATTATTAGTCAAAAAGGAAAAAAAAAAAAAAAACAACACCCTACCTGAAGAAAAACTATAGAGCATACAGAATAACAGGAGATAAGTATCAGCTACAGCTCTGTGACTTACTGTAGAAATAAGATCTATAGCCTTTACCAATATCTCTTAATTTGCCTTGTCTCTTTATCTACCTCTCTTCTCCATTTCAATACTTTGCCCCTAACACCTGGCTGAAGTGCAAGCATGATCCAAGTTAGTCCGATCAAATTTCCCTTCCATTTGAACTGAGTGGTTTTGTTGGCAGTATCCCCCTCACTAATGTGTGTGGATGTATTGGTGAATGTTAACTATATCAGTAAATCCATAAATTGTAGGTTATCAAGATGGGGTTAAGAACTAGAGAATGAGTATCACCCAGAAATCTTAGACTTGATACTGTGTGTGATAACTAGAAATTACATTATCTCCCTTGGGGAGATGATGAATCCCTTTTCTACAGTATGTTGAATGGAAGCATTTATAAAATTGTTCATGACAAAGAATCCATGTACTGGCAGCCAAGGGAGCTACACTAGTAGCTACACTAGTAGACAGCTACATTTAGCTACCCATTGTTTTTCCCCTCCACCTTTGAAATAACTCCTCACCTTTCCCTTGAGAAGATTCCCCTCTCGCATGCTACCAGATGATAATATGTAAGAGATGTATGAGTTCCTATTACTGAGATTTCGCCAGTTTCCCAGGTTCCTGGTTAAGCTGCTCTAATTTTTGTGAACTGCTTCATGTCCTTTCAGTAAATAACATTGGCTGAGCAGCCTGCTACATATAGCTGCACAGGGTATCTCCATAAAACCATATAAAGACATCCTGTAGCCAGGGTTGATTTTTGTTCTTTACATTCAGAGAACCCCAACTGATGCAGTGTTCTTATGTCTTAGGTGTTCTTTCCCCATTGACTCAAAAATCTCATTCCCATGGCTTTGGTTTCCAATTGTATGTTGATAACTTATGGAATCCTATCATCAGATGTATTGCCTGAGCTTCAGATCTGAATGTCCGCCTATCATCTGCATATCACCCCACTTGATTAACATACAGATGCCTCACACTGACCCCATCAATTTCTCCTCAAAATCTTCTCTTCCAGTGTTCCCTTTTCTTGACAAGTGGTACCACCCTTGGCCATGTTTGTTAAACCAGAGTGTGGCCATTATTCTTGATGCTTCTTGATCTTCTCTTTCACACCAGACTTTCCTATTAATCATTAAATTTTCTTGGTGTATCATGAAGATATACCTCAAAACCATCTTCACTTTTATCACCCTTGTCCAAAGAACAGTATCTTGCTAAGACTGTTGTGATGCCCTTCTATTGGTTTCACTGCCTCTACCATTGCCCTACTGTTATTTGCAGAGCAGTTTAGAGTGCTCTTTGATACACAGATCTAATTGTGTCAGCTGCCTAAAACCTTTTAGTAGTTCCCCCATTTTTCCAGTATATACTCTAGACTTTTATTCTGAAATCTTATCCTTGTTTACAAGGTTCTTCATTATGTTCCTTCTCAAGCCCTATCTTCACCACTTCAAACATAACTTGGTTTTATATATTGGTGTTTTCTGTAATAATTTATTTCAAAACAATTCCACATTTTTAAAAAGAAATTTTCATTAAAAAAGATAAAAACTCAAAATCACGAGTTGGAGGCATAGGTAAAGACAGCTCACCTCTTCCTTGAACAACCACAGCAAAAATTTTAACTACAAAACAACTGTCATCCAGAATTGTCAGAAAATGGAGCTGTATAGAAGTCTGATAAGCAAGGAATTAAGTCACATTCATTCAGATGGGTAGGAAGGGTGGAGATGTGAAATGGGCAGTCCAACACCCACATGTGGTGGACAAAAACTGGGAGAGAGATGAGTGAGGGATCCCAGACCACCCAGCACAGGGTTCCAATGCCATAATGATAAGTTCCCATAACCTCTGGCTGTAAAAACCAGTGGGAATTGGGGAAGCAGAAGAAACTGTGGGATTCTCAGGCATGTCTTCTTAAAGGGTCCACACAGACTTAGGACATAGGCAGACTCACCCCCCTCTAAGTTCCAGCACCACTGGGGCAGCAGCTTGAAGGGCACCAGTGGCATGTGAGGAGAAAGTGAAGTGTCTGGAATCAAGGTGAGTGCCCAGAGACAACATCCTCCTGGGCAAAACTTCAGAGGCCAGGCAGCAGCCATTGTCCCTTTTCTGAGCCCTCTCCCACACAGATCCACAGTGATGAAACCATATCTGAAACTCCATCAACATGGTTCAAATGGGTTGCCCACCCAGGCGATTAGCTAAGGCTCCACTCCATCCAACTTACAGTGCACTTTTCTACATTAGGCCACCTACTAAGAGTCAAAGCACCTCCACCTAATACACAGAAATACAAGGAGGCTGCAAATAAATATAGCTAACATGGAAGAACAGAACAAAACTCCAGAACAAGAACTAAACAAAATGGAGATAAGCAATCTATCAGATGCAGAATTTAAAACATGGTTATTAGGGTGCTCAAGGAACACACTGGGTACTTCAACAGAATAAAAAAGACACAGGTAGAAATGAATGTTACACTAAGTGAAATAAAGAATAATTTACAGGGAATCAACAGTGGAGTGGATGAAGCCAAGAATCAAGTCAATGATTTGGAACACAATGAAGAAGAAAAAGTTAAGTCAGAACAGCAGGAAGAGCTCTGGCTGGTGTGACTCAGTGGACTGACTCAAATCAATGGTTTGGACCAGAAGGAAGAAATAAACGTTCAATCAGAACAAGAGGAAGAAACAATTCAAAATGAAGAGAGGCTTAGGAACCTCCAGGACAACTTTAAATGTTCCAACATCCCAATCATAGGGGTGCCAGAAGGAGAAGAGGAAGAGCAAGAAATTTAAAATTCATTTGAAAAAGTAATGGAGAACTTCCCTAGTCTAGCAAAGGAAAAAACTTCCAGGAAGTCCTGGAACCTCAGAGAGTCCCAAAGAACTTG